AAGTTCCGAATAACTAACAGTAACATTAGAATGTATCAGTATAATTGTCAATATTTTAATTGTTATTCTGACCTTAGTTAACAATCTATAATCCAGTTACTTGTTTTATTTAATGTTTTTTTTGTCGAAAAAAAAAACGAATCTTTATTTGAATTTTAGTGGTTAAATAAAAAAAACCGATATTTTGCATACCAGCATGAAATGAATCCTATAGCAGCATTTGCATTTCAAATAAGTCGTTTTGTTGAATTTTTAGTACAGATTTAACGGTTAAACAAACGATAGAAAATTCATAGAAACTATTTACATCATTCCATATGCCGGGAGATAAAAAATAAATACCCCATACCTATGCCGGTATAATCAACATCTACTTATAGTTATTTTTAATTTAACGATATTACAAAACCCATAACAAGTTTCATCGATGCGGTTAAGCGAGCAGAATTACATTCTTCCAGTTATTCCTTAATTATTTTCACGTCGTTCGATTTTCGATAATCGAATGCGGTCTCGAACATTTCGCCAATATGCTCGTTATGGTCGGTACGTATGAATAAAAAAAATATGGCCGATTCGTAAACGATTAATGGCGAAGGCGAACAAGAAGTGAATACGCTTTGCTTTCGAAGAACAAACGGAAGCGCGAGTTGAACGACCCGCGTCCGAACAGCAGGTTTTCTTCGATTAACGACCGTCTTTTTCGACGGAGAATTAGCGTCGATGTACTAATTATCTAACCGGCCGTTGGTTAACATCGAAACGGCTACGGAAAAAAAATGGAGAATCTTCGACTCGTCGGATTCTTCCTGTAATCGCCGAAACTCACGTGCTATTTCTAATCTAATTTTCTGGTTTGCTTAATTATAAATAAAGAACGTAAGTGACTGATGCCTGAGTGGACGAGGCCGCAGGACATCCTGACTGACCGAGACTTTGTGGCTAACTTCACTCTGCTGAGTGACTGATGCGCGGCAACTTTGATTAGTTTTACTGCTTTGAACGTTTTTATTTGCAATTTTTTTAACTCATTAATTGTAATTTGGGATATACATGTTTCAAATCGGGGTCTACATGCCTTTTATAACGCTACATATTCTTCAAAATGAACCACAGTTATAAATAACAGTAACATCGAAAAAAACAAATCGAAATTATATGACAGGTGTTTGACATATGAGATAAGTGGATTTAATCGAAATTAATCGATTTATGAATCGTTCATTTTCGTAGAAGACGATTGAGGAAACGAATGGTTATTAATAAATAAAATATCGATATTAATTTTGTTGAATTTTGCGAGAATTGCGAATTTCATGGTTAAAAAAAATACAATAAGCTTCAATTTATTGCATACTAGATTGATTTATTTCCAGGAAAATGACGCCGAGAATAAATGTATAACCTCGATTTAAAATCAACAATTTTTCCGTACATCCGTATTATAGATATTTAATTGTAATGTTAAACTTTATTTCTTCTTTAAATTCTTCGCAATTAACTACAAACAAACCATTTAGAACTAATTGTAAGTACCTACAAGTAAATTTGATATTCAATTAAATTGACAGGTGACAGGTGTTTCTTCTTTTTTAATTGAAGTTTGTTCGTATACTATGTAGGTTTCCAGCCAATCGAGTGACTAGATTTGACTTGACTAATTAGTTAATAAATTAAGCTGGTATGCCCTTTGTATTATGTGTAAGTTAAACGAATAAATTAATTCATTCCTTATAGAAAAGTAAAAGAAAAATAATAAACGTATAGTTTATTAACGATATGCTCATGACACCTCGTTTAACTACTTTCATAAGCTTTTTTCCTGTAAAAAATATGATATATCACAGTTAAAATAATTATTATGCGTTATTAACGCTGTTCGTGCAAAGGCAATTAACAAATCATTTTCGCTAATTAGTCGGATCCGTACGGAACGAAAATTTCGAACGTCTAGTTCTATGGCCATTATGGTTATACAGGGTGAATCATAAATTATTTATTCGAATTTAGAGAAAAATGACTTCTAGTGATATGTACTGGATATTTTCAGAAAAATGTATCAACTCTTCTATCTATTAAAAGGGCACGTTGGTTTCTTCGCATTAGCAACTTAGTTTTGTCAAGAAATTTTCGAGTCTATTTTTTGTTCACCCTGTATAGCTAGGTACAGGCAAACAGCTTTATGTAATCACCAGACGTGTTTATGCTAATTGGAATTCAATTATTGAGAAAGTTGTTCGCATTTTCCGTCCGTAGACCAGCCGAGCTATCCCGTTCACCTTGACTCTGACTAATTCAAATTCGAAAAATTCGAAAATTGAATTTCATATTTTTTGTCTAGTTTATATAATTTATCGTTGGGCGAGGAAAACGACAAGAAACCGAGTTGGATACATGTAGATCAACGTTGCGGGGCGTAGTGAAATTTTATTGGATCTAGGGATTTTTTTATGATTTTTTTTAATAGATAATGAAAGCATTCATCACAAGAAGGGGCGTATTCGAATTTCCAGAAAAGCCGTTCTTTCTTTTTTGAAATTTTATCAAACGATTTACAGAGGACATCCTGTTGTAAAATTCGACCGATAGAAGCAGAGAATGCTTTTTTTGTTGTTCCTTCTGTAGAACGAATTGATACAATCAGGAATTTTGCCGGGCCACAAATTGAGGATTTAACTCGAAGTCTACCCACATCCGTGTTCGTTTCCTGTCCGACGGAGATATATTACTAATTTTCTTCGTTTATTAGATGTAAATGTAGCTGTAGTTCCGAATATATGGCTTTTTTATTAGGTACAATACGCGCTTGATACTGAATAATCCCTCTACAAGCAACGTAATAATCCCCAATCCTTGTTCAATATCCTTTGCAATACACTTCATAATCCCTGTATAGAATATTTAAGTACTACTTTGATTAAATTTTAATCCGCCATTCCGTAAATAGTAGAGTATAATCAATAGACTTTGGAAAGAGTTTACGTTTAAAATTATTAGCACTCTCGGTCTGCCGCTTCTGGGTATCATTGCACTTCTTCGGGCCGAATCGGAGGTTCGTTGACCACCGAGATAGGAGGCAATGGTTCCTCTTCAAGGCCTCGTTCCGCCTAAATTCACGCGGATTTTGGAATAGGCGACGCAGAAGAGGATCCTCTCGGGCCGGCGCGTTTTTTTTTTCATATTTCGGACTCGTATTCTATCTAGCTCTTCTAGTTTTTTTTGACTATTCGTCGGGCGAGAGGTCGACGGACGCGACGCGTATTGTTTTCCGTACAAGAAAAATTAATTATTTATCGAATACGCCTCGCGAATCATAATGAAATAGTTAATTAATTAATGGGGGGTTTCGGATTTTTTTCGACTGAGATAATAAGAGTTGTTACGCCTTCTTAATGAGCTGAGAAAATTTATATGTTTGCCTTAATTAATAGGTTAATTAGGTAAATTTAGTTAGCCGCCATCTTGTTATTCGTGTTTTGACATTTTGACAGGTTTGACAGGTGAAATTAGTGGATAGAGCTGATGGAAAATACATTTTGTCACGTTACCATAGTTCTTGCAGTTTATTCAATTCATTAACAAATTTCTAAAATAGTTCCAGTTCATTTTATTTAATTTAATTAATTCATTTTATTGTAATACGAAGTAGAATAATCTAGATAAATTATGATTGTATAATTGTGAATATGAATAGAATATGTCACTTTTGATGTTACATAACTGCACCTGTCAACTTCAGTTCTAGTGTCGTAAAGTGTAGATTAGAGCAGACAATTTTGATAGATCTCGTTTTTATTCAGCGGCGATTGTGAAAACAATAATTAGATATCACATGGTAAAAAGTTTATAGAAAAAAAATGCGATTACATCGGCCGTTAATTCCATTTCAACGTCGAATAATTTCTCCTGCGACTATTAACAATTACCATTAACGAATGGCGGTGCAAATTCGTCCGTAACTCCGTCGAAATGTCAAACTGGAAATTTCTCTTATATAACAGTAATCGAAAACCAGTGGCGCATCATAAAGGTACACAACAATTTTCTCCTACCCCAATGTTAAATCAAATTTATACAATTTTTTTAGCTGCATGAAATATTGCGGTGTTGTCATGTTAAATTTATACCTGTCATGTGCATATCAAATGTCAAATGTAAATACTTTTTGTTCTCTCTAGGAGATTCTACCACTTTGTGCATTATGTTTGTGTCAAACTGGAAATTTATCTTATATAACAGTAATCTAAAACCAGTGGCGCATCATAAAGGTACGCTATCAACACTAAATCAAATTTATACAGTTTTTTATACAGCATAATAGCTGAAATATTGCGGTGTTGCCATATTGAAATTTATATCTCTCAAACGTCAAATGCACTTTCTGTTCTCTACAGAAGATGTAGAATTTGTTATTACCACTTTGTGTATTATTTTTGAATATTTTTAAAAGTGTCCCGGTATTTTGAATATCTGCGCGACGCTGGTGGGGAAATCAGCGGGTATACATGAGCGACATTCGTCGCAATACAGGGATTAATTAGCGATTAATTAACGGTCTTTTTGTGCGAAACAAACCGGCAAGACGACCGAAAAAAGGAAAATTAAAAAAGCCGGAGGACGATTAACGAAGGACAGCGGCGCGTGAAGGAAGTTTCACTGCGGCGAAATAGATATAATGCACAGATAGGTGAGCAAATAGATTGCGGATAGAAAATGCGCGGTTTCTCCTGCAGATAGAGGGAACAAAACGCAGCAGTTCAGAACCCGAACGAACGCGAAAATTAATGGATTTCGGATGCGCGAGAATGCGTCAAACCGCAATAAAATACTTAGAATTCCCGATAGATGATTCTAAAAAATGTCAAACTCGCTTGAGCCTCACCTTCAATAGGTTAATACTAATCGAATTACCCTCGTATCTACACTTACACCTTCTATACATTTAGAATACACAATTTCGATGTGTAATAGTAGTAATAGAATTGTCGTTTTTGTTGCAGACGATGCAAGAAGTGCTGAAAATGCAATCGGGCGACATGACGATAGAATGGAGTTACATACCGAGCAAGGAAATACCGGGCGTAATTCTGCACGACAGATTGATGACGGACGCAGCTTTGGGAACGAGGCCGATCAAAAGCGAACATTCCTATAGTTTAGCATCAGATGGAGACAGCCTGCCCGATTCACCCACCTCACATCATAAAGTCGACGGTAATTTAAAACCTAATATGTATAGAAAACTATAATAACCTGACTATATACTAATTATTATCGATCGAACGTAATACCATAATAATCTTATCGGTGCAAACTGTAGAGATTTGTTTGGAAAGTTCGTTGTTGGGTTTTCAATTCTTTTTTATGTAAAGAAATCTTATATTTTTACATTAATTAACTCATACAGTAGTTGCCGAACCTTTATAGAGTCTACAAAATCTAAGAATCTACTATAGGTATCTATAGAATCTCCTATCTAATCTCTACTATAGAATCTCCTATAGTACAAAATCTACTATAGGAAAATAATAATAATTTTGTATACAAACGTTGAATTTTGACAATATTTATTTTTTTGGATGAATCCTGCTTTTTAACATTTTCATTAACCCTTGTTAATATTAAATTAAATTCTAATAACGCATATTGTTCCTGGTAGTACTAGTACTAGTATTGAAATTTCTCGTCAAAAGAAGTAACTAATGATAGGTTTAATGGCGATTTATTCCCTACTAAAGCAAGTGTAATTTATACTGTTGCTAAGCGGTTAATCGCGCTTTTTTTAAACTAATTGTAGGTACGATATGTGTATTGATGTCGATAAAAACTTGGTAAGGCTGCAAAGCGAGGAATCGGGGGAAATTATCGAAACGTGCAATATGTGTATACTCGAATAATCGGTACACAAACACACGCTTAAAAATTGGTTCGTCGATTTGCATAAATGAGTCAAAAATGACGATTCGAATACGGTAAAAATTTTAATAATGCTTTTTCCATATCTATAAGCGAATATTTCAATGAGCTTTTGTTGTTACACAACATAATGGGTACAAAATGGTACAATATTTGCTCCAGTTGAACGAACGCGGAGTCACAAATTTATAAATATATTTATTTGGAACTATTGTGTTAATAGGATCAATAGGATATAGCAATTAATGATATTTTGACACAAGTTAATAAACTATACTCCGTTCGACATCATCAGGAGATATTAATAAAACCTTCTTTAAACAGTAGATCACATGCACGTTAAGACATAATTAAAAAGTAGGCACTATTGAATTAATAACTATAATTACTGGTACTATCTGTACGTACCGATTTAGATATCAATGAATACAATGATTAATTTTTATAAGTATCTACTTTTTAATTTTATTATATCCTTTTAGTAGAGGAAGTGCGCCATATATGGACTACCATAATCAGCTTTTTTTATATTAAACCACTTCATTTGGTCACTTTATTTGGGATTAAAAACGGATTGTCTATTGTTATACACACTGTATACAGAGTGGCACTGTTAAAGTAAAAGTTCTTTACAAACAAAATAAGGTTTTATTACTATCCCCTGATTGTGGAAAGAGTATAGTCGATAAGAAAAAGATTAAAATTTGTTCGAACCGACCGAAACAGTCGATTTTTCAGACATGGAAGACGACTATTTCCCCTCCATACCGATGAGAACCGCCTGCCCGCCGAACAACCTCCACCAGCAACACCACGAATTGCACATCAAAGACGAACCGGCCAGCGAAACCGACAGCAATCACTCCTCCTGCCCGCCGTCGCCGTCCCAATCCCTCTACGTCACCGCCGCCGATCTGCCTCTCGACGTCGAAATGTCGCCGGCGCCGCACCGCCTCGCCGGCCTCGTCAAAACCGCCGCCAGCCAGGCCATCCTCACCTCCCCGCACGCCGTCATACCCCAAAGATTGCAGTTACCCGTGCAGAAGTCCCCGTCGACGGCGACGGCGACGGCGGCGTTCCACAGCCTGCCGCCGACGCCGCCCTCCTGCAGCAGCAGCGAGGAGAGCGAGGACAACGGCGCCATATCGCAGCCGAGCTCGCCCGCCGCCAGGAAGACGGCCAGGCTGTTGCTGAGCCAGCACCAGCCCTCCACCAGGCAGCCCATCAACACCCCGCTCATCAGCACCCAACCGGTAAGAATCGGCAGGACGTGGCGAGTTGTTGGGGATTATTGTGGGTTATTGTCGTTGCAGAAGGGGTCCACCGGTACGCTGGTGCTCACCGAAGAGGAGAAGAGGACGTTGATAGCGGAAGGGTATCCTGTACCGACGCGTTTACCGCTCACCAAGGCGGAGGAGAAGTCGCTGAAGAAGATCAGGAGGAAAATCAAAAATAAGGTAAGATAAATGGTTCTACTCTGCAAGTGATTTTTTTCAAAGTTTACACCTTTTCCAGTTGTGTTTCAGAAAGCGTCAATTGAATTTAAGAATAGTCACTTATTTTTCGGAAAGTATCTGTTGTATTTCAGAACAGTCAATTTGATTTCTGAAATCATCAATTGTATTTAAGAAATTATCATTTGTGTTTCGGAAAGTGTCATTCGTATTTCGGAAACCGTCAAAAGGATTTCAGAGTCACATTTGGAATGCAGAAATCATATGACAATTATTAACGAAGAAGAAAAACTTAGTCCACTCCAAAATTTATATTATTTTTTCAGACTTGAAACAACTTCTCTCCGGAATTGAAATATTTTTTCTGAAACCGAAATTATTCTTCTGGAACTGATACCTTTATAATTTTTTCTGAAATTGAGAATGAAAAGCTATAGATATTGAAAAATTCCGAAATACAAATGATGATTACGGAAATCAAATTGACTATTCTGAAATTCAATTGATGGTTTCTGAAATCAAATTTGTTATTCTGAAATACAATTGATGCTTTCTGAAATCTAAATGAGTCAATAACTTTTCTGAAATGCAATTGATACTTTCCGAAATATAAGTGATTGTTTCTGAAATTCAATTAAAGCATTCTTAATTAATGAACCTGACGCTTTCTGAAATACTGTTGGAAATGGTGTAGTTATATTCCCAGAATTTAGTAAAACCACCAAAGTTAGTAAAACTTAATAAAACCACCAGATTTAGTGACTTTTTTCATTCCTATAATCTAGTAATATCTCCCGAATTTAGTAAAATCACCAAATTAAATGACAATTAGTGTGACGTGCATTAATATTTGTTTTGCACCAACTGTATACGTTTGTTTTGTGCAGATATCGGCGCAGGAGAGCAGGCGAAAAAAGAAAGAGTACATGGACCAATTGGAGAGAAAAGTGGAGCACCTCGTCACCGAAAACAGCGTGTACAGGCAGAGAATCGAGAGGCTGGAGGATTCGAACGCGAGCCTGCTGGGGCAATTGCAGAAACTGCAGGCGATCGTCGCCAGGCATCCGCAGATCGTCAAGCAATTGAAGCAGATCAATTAGCGAGACGATCGAGGAGCGTTCGAGGCGCGATTATATAGTATTTTTTATTTTTTAATTATATATTTTTGTTAAGTGAATCAGCTAAAATACTTTGGAAAAACGCAAATCTTAGAGTACAAAACGAATACGAAATGAGGGAACCGCTTAATTTTGATATGCGGCAGAATTGTCAATTCTCGTTGCCAAAACGTGGAACAATCGATATACGATTATATACAGGGTGTCCCCTTATTTCTTTAAATTTGGAAAACTATGGTAAATTATTCGAGATATCCTCAACTGATGTAAGAAATTAGTCTACATAAAAACTTGCTTATCAAAGTTACGTGGACCACCTTGTGTAATTTGTATATACCTACTTGTAAAATGGCTAGTTTTCCATTAATGCTTCGGGGCGAATTAAAGGGAACCACCCTGTATAGTAATATGTTTACCGTTAGAATCGAAGAAGGCCTAGTCTTCCGTCGTCGATCATTTTTAATTTATTACGTTTCATTACATTCCGATCCGCATAGTAATTATTAAAATACCAAAGTTTGAATGTAGAAAGCTCAAAAATATTTTTATACGAAAAACGTACCTAGAAAAGTGTGAAAAAAAATATAAAATAAAATGGAATAAATTTATGTATATTCTAAACGACCGTTCAAACGTGTACTTAATTTTATTGTATCGCGTAAAATGCTTAGGTATTCGTGCCTTAAGATTACGTAGTCGTAGTTTTAGCGGTGTTTTCGGGGGCTCCGGCGAGTCCCGTTGAGTTTTTATCGAGTCATTAAGTTCGATTTTAGAGTAGGTATTCTCCGGGGGAAGGCCCGGAGGAAAAACGGCGAATTTTTATTGTGCAACTATATTTAACTGACGATGAAACGAAGCAATTTGAGTCTCGAATTCGGCATACTATAAAGCTAACGATCGTATTTGAAGAGAAAAATCCTGAGAGCTACAGAAAAAAAATTCCAACGTGGCAACGCCGCAGTTTTGATGACGTCACGGTCGATTTATCGTGAATGTAGTATATGCGCAGTGGCACTTTACACCACATTTTCAGTAAAGTTTAAATGAGCCGAATTGAGAGATTCAAATTTAGCAAATTAACTGCCTATGAACATACAAGGTGAACCACAAAATTTTAAAATATCAAAAAACCCGTATGTTGTTGATTTTATTGAAAATATAAAACGAACAAATTTAATTAGTAAATTATTTATGAATTTATTTATTATTAATCGATTGTATGAGAGGGGTGGTTAATTTGCAAAGTGTAGAGGCGACTTTTTTAATAGATTTTTTTCCTAATTCAATAACAGACTGAAATTTTTGGCGTTGGAAAAAATATCCTAAGCAGGTTTATTCGTTAGAATAATAATCTGAATAAGTGCAATTAATCGTTATCAATTTAAAAAAATTAGCTTAATGAACGTTTATGAACAGGGTAATATTAAATTAATGTATTATATATAATGAGTGTTTTGCGGAAATGATGCAAAACGAGATTTTCAGATATTAAATTTTATAATTTTTTTGTTTGTGTTAATTCGCTTATTTAACGTGTACCCATAACAGAGGGATTTTTGTACGTTTTGCTCATGTACTATATTTTAGATAAAAAGATAAAGGAAGGTGGAGAATGTATAAAAGAAACATCTACATCAAGCAATCCTTAAAACCATTAAAAATTTTTGAAAATACTGAAAAAAAAATTAATTTACTAAAATCCTTGAATGTTTGAGTCAAATCACTAAATTAATATAACAAAAAAATAATTTTCAATTATTCTCCTCTTTCCACTGTTTTTTTTTTCTATTTTCTCCAATCTATTTTCGTTGTAAATATCCTATTAACGTTAATTTTTCTTAAAACTTTATATAATAAATGTGCGTTTTGCAAAAGAACGAAAATCGATTATATAAATATATTATTGCATTTATATTGTATATAAATATAACTGTTGCATTATTCAGAGTTTAAATATTTTATACTTATATAATATTGTTATACAATTGAAATTTATATTTAGGAAAATCAGATTGTTTGATTTTGAAGTTTTCGCGCATGAGTTGTAATTATTATTCAAAGAAATATTTTTAAAACAGAGATTGAAAGGCTTCGAATTCTCTTTTTTTTTAGTAACATAATTTTATGTTTTCTTATGCATTTGTTTAAAATCCGTCCTAATTTAACGACTTTAAATTTATTATTTATTCCAGTATGTTCGAGTTAATGAAGCGATGACGTTATAAAATTTAATGACGTCAATAAGATTGTGTTTGATATAGTTTTGTTCATTATTTCAGGTTGTGACGTCATCGTTACGTTAAATGTTTCTTCGTATCTCGTTTATCGGGTTTTGTTTTTGTATAGGAAAGGAAAAAGTAAAATTATTAAGTTCCTAAATATAGTTATAATTTCAGGTTATTTTCACAAAGCGAACTAGTGAGATTCGAGTTCGAAGCCGTTTTATATATTATATTTATAACAATAAGAAATGCTTCAAGTTTTATAATAATTTTAGTAGATTTTTGTATATATACGTTGAGGAATTTAATGTTTACAAATTTCATTTAGTCTAATTCGAGAGTCCGGAAGAAACTGTACGTTGAAAAAAACCTTCCGGATTTTCCTATCAGGGGTGTATTAAAATAACTCTATGCCTAATGTTAATGTAGGTCAATTTCCAGTCAATAAATAATTTATGTAGCTAATCAAAAAAAGAAAACGGGGCTTTATACTTTCCCGTCTCGTTTTTTTTCTCTTAACATTGGGTATGCAGAATTCGTAATGATTTTACTTTAATTTATTGTGTAATTTGTACGCGTTTATACAACTTGTTGAACACAATTTATTTGTACAACTCGTTCCTTTCTCGTAGGGGCCACGTAATTGTAAGATTATTTTTTCGTCTGCTTCATTGCACTGGGTACCAATTGCATTATTTGTGTAAAAACAGACTTAACGAATGTAAAAAATAAAATTCTAAAAAAAATGTATTTTCATAGTCGCCTCCTTAAAATGTTGTTAAAACACCACTAGTTTGTGGCCATTAACATCATACTAACAAGCCACTAACGTTTCGTATTCATAGTCGCATATTTCTTTTCCACTAGTTAAAATAATGCTAGCAGAAAAATGAATGTGTCAACAACGGAAATAACCATAGACCTATTAAGTATGGACGCGGCACTATCGTTATTTTGAGGTTATTCAGCGTTCCCAATGATAGAGAGAGAGGTCCGTGAGAGATGGAGCTAGTTTGGGCTAAAAGTAGGCGGGACCAAAAAAATATAAAATATATACGGGGTGTGCGGAAAAAGTTTTCGATTAATCTGTTAAATTATTTATACGCTTAATATTTAAATATTGTTTTTATCTTGGTATCCACTTGGACAGAAGAATGACCTGGAAGAAACATATTTTTTACAAGAGAAAGCAGTTAGGTGGAGGAGGTAGGAGGTTCCAAATAACAATACAAAATAAGAACTGTATTTGCAAATGCGTGGGAATTTAGGCTCAGCTGAAAAATGCATTTTGCTCGGTAAAAAAATAATAAATCCTCAACCCTATTCTATCATAAGCTACCCTCCTCTACCCCAGCTACCTTGCATATCTGAAAACGTAACTCACGTGGTCTTTTGCTTTCTTACTATTGGCTAATGCATTGTCCAATCTCTCATTGCCAAATGCCCAAACTAGCTGCATCTCTCTCATTCATCGACAACACTACCTCTTTGTCTAAACCGCGTCCATAGTTAATAGGTCTATGGAAATAACTTAAAATTTTATTTTATGTTGGAGATTTTGGTTATGTTATTGACGTTATTGTGTCAGACGCACGTGCTTAGATCAATTGAATGGGTGATGGGAAAAAGGATAGAATTCCAGTGAACCTTATTTTTGAGAAAACAAAAAACTTTGTACAGCGAAACCCGATATTTAACAAAAATCATGATTATTAGCCAATTATACACTTTGACTAAGTACGTTTGATACAAAAGTTTAAACGGTTTATACCTCTTTGGTAACTAGTTATTGGTATTTGAAAGTACAACAATTTTATCCTTTTTCCTCTCAAAATACAAAAAATAGTTAAAAAACTAAAAACTGTTTTTTTCAACATCTTTGCCGGTTTTTTTGAAGTATGGGGTATGGGGCTACCAGTTTTTGAAATAAAGTATATCGGTATTAGTTAGCTGTTAGATATTTATGGAAAGGTGCATGTAAGAAGCTGAAGAAGTAAATACAAAATCCAGTTTAAAAGTTTAAATTCAAATAATAGCAACGATGAGATACTTAGCAAAAGGGTAGTAAAAAACACAGTAAAAAGGCAGGAAAGACGCAGTGAAAGCTCGATTTCACGCACTAGACGTTTGTCGACTGTTTTAAATCCTGGTAAAAAGTAACTTAACGGCCCTAACGCCACTAAGAAATTTAGTGGCTACTAACAAAAATTACATCTTATTGTTAGAGCCACTAAATACGACTATGAATAAGGCTAAAAATATTCAATTCTACATAATTACTTACTGATGATGATGAAGAAAACCAAAGCGCAGCCGCTCATCACACTTATCAAGCAAAACATGTAAGGCTGTTTTCACTTAAATTCATTTCGTTCAAAAATGCTTCCAAAACGGTGTCAAGCGCAATAATGGCAATTGACAGTGTCCATTGACTTTTGACATCTGTCATGTCCCAAAATAATTAAAATTTTCCCAAGATGACTCTTACAGTTCCTTGTTCCAAAAAATCTGATCATGATGCAATTAATCATTGATAATATTGCTATCATCGAATATGTGACAAAAATGATTACAATTTAACGAACTTGTTTATTTTCCATAATCATGTACTTACATTAATAGATAGGATAAAAAATTCAATTCTCATAAATTTTGCTTGTTTGCTATACAAGTGGTTTTTACAAATCGAATTTAGAATCATCATTCGATACTCTCACGGATTTTTAAATTACAACTATCATAAAATAATAAATTACGTTTACATTATTTACAATAAAAATAGAAAAATTACTCGTAGTGAAAAAAAAAAACATGCTAGTTTAATCACACTACAAAACGAACATAATTTAAAAGCCAAAAACCATTGTCTAAGCTCACTTATATTTCGACAAATAATCCAGAACCGTTCAGAACACAGTACGGAACTTTCCTCTTCCCGACTAAACCATCGTAAATTACAACTAGAATCAAAATCCTAATACTCCGGCGACGACGAATCGTAATCAGGATGGTACGTGTACCAAGTATTACTCGAATTCTCCTTCTTCAACGTTATATTCCTCAACCTCTCGCTCGGCTTCGCACTTCTCTCCCCCTCCGTTTTCACTTTAACCTCACTCTTAACTTTCACCTCGTTGAACTCGTCGTCCGTCGATTCGTTCCACGATGTCGTACTGGCCGGGCTGCCGAACGCCAACCGCGGAGTCGGCGTGCACGAGTACCTCGAACAGCTCGGACGGTCCGGATCGATCGGAACGCCGGCCAAACTCCCCTCGAAATTCCCAATGTTCAGCAACAAACCGGAACAACCGGCGCCCTCGTCGGCCGCAGAGCGCGTTACCACTTCGTTCGAACTCGCACCCTGGTTGGTTTTCGAAGACTTGTGACGGTTCAAAATCCTCGCCGATCCCCGCAATTTCGGAACGTCCTTACCGGAATCCGATGAATCGCTATCCGTCGACGACGAACGGCGTTTTTTCGATTTCTTCGGCTTCTTCTTCCTGCGATGCCTACAACGAATACAATCAGTAGCTGAATAACTCTACCAATCGACCACTCACCTTTCGGATGATTTCCACGAGCTATCGCTCGAACTGGAACTCGACCGATACCTCTTCGATTTCTTCCTGTACCGCTTCTCTCGCTCCTCCTCTCTGGATCTCCTCTTGTTCTTCAAGCGCAACTTGAGCGGCAACACCGGCGCCCTGGCCTCTTGTTCGGGCGTGTTGTCTCGCACGGCTATCGAAGCCGGGGGCGTGGGCGAATCGTCGGGCACCACGATGGGATCATCGGAATCCGAGTCTACCAGGTCTATAACGACCGGCTCCTGCGGATTGCTGCTACCCACTATTATAACGTCGCTGTCGTTGCCGCTCTCAGAGCCATCGTCTGCAAATTCAATACAATCGTATAGTAATGCGAGTAGATTAATTCATAGACCAAACAATATATCGTTTGCTCCATTTCCGATTGCAACATGGTCATTTCTATGAGTGGAACAAAGAAAGATTAATAAAATGACAGTTGTCAGAGTGAAATGTTGCAATGACACAAATGTCATTCTTTCCTTTTCCTTTATAAGTGTCTAATGGAAGTTGTCTTTATCGCACCTATGGCCTATATAACCTATGTTGCGATCAAAAATGGAGCAACCTGTAGATGCATAACACAATGGCATAATTTTAAAGCTATAAAGCGACATCTACAAATTCGAAGGAACTAAACACAACGTTGCAACATTGCCAATGATTACTTTTTTATTTGTTTTGTTTGTTTAAGTACAGGGTGTAAACAAATGGTTGAGAGAGAATTTAATGGGTTATTCCTTGTTGAAAGATAGAAGTCTTTTATATTAAAAAAATGTTTAACTAGGGATCACCGCTTAAATTCTTTCGCAAACAATTATTTAAACCATGTATTTTAAATAGGTATAGGTCGTTTAAATAGGAAGTCGTCCAAACGTTTTTAGAAAACTAGGACGACGTACCTAGGTATAAAATAGAACTTAAAATCACTATTAATTCTTCGCTATTAATTATCAATAGTGATAAAATCACTATTGATTCTTCAGCGCCATCTGTTTATTCGAAAACAACAAAAAATAATTCCCAGAATGGCCAATTCAAGAAAAACATCTGTAGGTTTGGTCTAGGGATTAGTTTCAAAATTACACTCACCGATGGTGACGGTGTGGGGATTCATCGAGTAGACTACGTGTCGATCGTAGCCGATCATATCGAAGGGAGATCTCATGAAATTGTAGAATTCGTGAATAAAGTGCTCCGTCTCGCTGTCGAGGTACTCGAAGAGCAAATTGTGGAAGGCCCTGCTTCGTACGTGATTTCGCAACAATTGCTCCATTATGATATCGACCAGTCGCATTACCAGTTGGGTGTTTTCGTAGAGTATCGCGTTCAGTTCTCTGTTCAACCACGGGGCCAGTCTCGTCCGGGCCGCCGGATAAACCCTGTTTTCAACAACAAAAATCATTTAACTTCAATATTTTGTATAATATGCTATATGTGGAAGCTCCAAGGAGCACATTTTCATGGGAATTTATAGAAGTATTTGCGAGTAATTCGTGTACCTGAAGAAGGAAGGTGAAACGTCCCGGTATCTCCCCGTAACGTCCGGTATAGGAATGGCCCATAAATGTCTGATGTAAATGGACCGTCTGAAGCTTGTGGTCGATTCGCGCTCTCTGATGACCCGTCGTCTGTGATAAACGTTTCTATGTGAAAATTAAGCGATACTTCTACATAATTCGATGTTTTGTACTTACATGGGGGGCACGAAACCGCTCGTACTGACCGATATATGCGGATGGGTGAGCAGCATTTGTTGTATAGCGTGTTCTCCATTTGTATCGACGGTAAATGTTGTTCTGAAGTGGAAATGGTGTCTCGTAGATTGCTGGGATTGGCCGCGAGGCAGAAACAACAAATTTTCTTCGTTGTCGATCAAGAGCACCTCTTCGGGCGGCGTTATTTCCACGACATGTTCATCGTACTCTTCGTTGCTCTTCACATTGTGAATGATTCTAGTGAAGGGCTGCTTGCAAAGGGGACACTCCGGCTTGATCTGTAACATGTTTACGAGTGAATGTAACGTTAAAGTGGGGTTGATTTAGCGTTTTACCTTCGACCATTGTAGCAGGCATTTGAAGCAGAACTCGTGCATGCAGGAATCCGAGAAGCACTTGTTGGAGAAATTCCCCAGGCAGATTGCGCAATTCGGCGGTGGGCTCGACGAGCTCGGACATCGGATGAACACTTTGCTCTCCGCCATTGTTGATCTTTTCGAGATTAAATCGGCGAACTTAACCCGAAAACCGAATTGAAAAAATATCGATTCCGAAAACTTGCTCTGACGAGGTTTGTCATAACTGTGACCTTGTTGTCATCGTCCGGCCGATTTAAAGTCTACGTTGAATTTTAACTGATCGACGAATTTGATTAGTTGATAATTGTTAATATTCTAGAACTCGTACCGCAAAGTAACTGGTAAACATAAAATTGAGAAAAAAATTTATCCACCATGACACTTACATATACACACACTAATCTCACGACTCGTACACACTCGACCAAACCAACCAACCATGGCAGTGGAAATAAAATTTGACAGTTCAACAAACGAAATCAAACGTCAATGTCAATATTCTAATGACATAGAACACATTTTTGCGACGTATATCAGGTGTTATTAGACATGTCAAGTTGCCAAGTAGTTGATTAGTAAAAGGCCGTTTAAAAAATGTAGAAGAAAGGAATGGGTAAATTTTCAAATGAAGAAAGTTTTTTGATTTTTTTACTAAGATTTATTTACGCTTATAATTAGAAACGCGAAAAAAAAAACAATCATTTTAGATTTTTCTTGGAAACAGGCTAGGATAATTTCGATTATAATACAGCCATTAAATGCAAATATATTTTGAATGAAATGCGAGCCTACAGATCTGCAAAAAATTCATTTCTAATGAAAAATCAATGTGAAAATTTAGTTGTGTAACCTTAGTATGAAACAAATTGTACCCATAAACGGTGGAAAATTTGAATATATATAATTAATTTAGTCCTATCTGTATAATAAAAATTTCAATTAAATAAACCTGACACGTGCAAAGGCGCACATTTTGTGAATACGAAACGAATTAATTTCATTTGCCATTGACTACCCACACCAGTTTTCATGCATCTGTATCAAAGAACAATTCACTTTCACTTTTGAATATCCAACGAAATATTTACACTCTCTTAAACGAACACTGGATGATAGAAGATGCTGAAATATCGAGTGAGTTTTTCTTATAATAATATTCCACTAATCTTACCATTATATTCCATCAATATCGCATTAAAAAACGCATTTTTATCAGTAAATTTTGGTAGTAACAAGTATATATTTTACAAATAATTTTACATTTATTACGATTGCAGGGAATAATTGTGATCTTCTTCGTTGCTACTATTGTTCTAGCAACGAGTGAGGTAACTCAAAAATCCTCCACAGAAAAGAGTTCCGTATCGGATGAGGCTTTAGAGGCGACATTAAAAGACAAACGGTATCTAATGAGGCAACTAAAATGCGCCTTAGGAGAAGGACCCTGCGATCCAGTCGGTAGAAGATTAAAAAGTACGTTTAAAATATCATTAAATGGAGCTTATATTTATAATTATTTTCTCTGCAGGCTTGGCCCCGTTAGTGCTGCAGGGCTCCTGCTCGCAATGCACGGAGCAGGAGCAAAGGCAAATCAGGAAGGTGCTCGGGTACATGCAGGTCAATTTTCCCAAAGAGTGGAACAAAATTTTGAGGCAATATGCTGGTTAATTCTGGTTAATTATATGTTTCAAATGTGTGAGATTTATTAATTAATAACCGTGAGTTATTAAATTGTTATATGTGGTAGATAATTTGTTTAATTTTCTTTTTAATATTTTGTACCTATTGTTGGTGCAAAACAAATATCAAAGCACGTCACTACTGTCGTTATACTTGTCTCAAATTGTCAAGCATTGTAACCAACTTTTAAAAATAAATACACAAAATATATTAAGCTTAATAGGTGCAGAATTTTATTTAATATTAACAAGGGATGATAGTAAATGTTGTGAGATCAAATGAGATCAAATGTAAACAAAATTTTTTACATTTGACAATTTTTGAAAATTCTTAGGATTTTTTAACTCTATAAAAGTTCGGCAACACTGCCTACTTGTGACGTAGTAAATTATAGACGACGTACGTTGATATTTGTTTTGCACCAACTGTAGATATGAGAAATTATGTTAATTTTTTGAAAGCAAGGGAAATTTTAGGCGAAGGGTATGAAACAACTAGAGAGAGCTTAAGAGAGGTGTTTTTATTTACTACGAGTGTTTTTTTATAATAAAAAATTTGCCTACGATTGTATTAGAAAATTAACTGCACTAACTGCACGTCATTTCAAACGTTAATTTTACAAGATTCGATTATTTTTACAGGTCGTTTATTTTTTGTAACAATATAAGCGAGAATTTAAAAATGTTATGCAACAGTCGTAGACAAAGTACACGTTATAACCCGCATAAAATTGTACTAATTTTATAAAATTTCAACAAGTTCTACATACAATTTTCGACATTAACGCAAATTTTAACAATTATAAAAAGTAATAAATACAATAAAAAAAACAAAAAAGTAATAAATAATTTCCCGGATTATTATCTATTATTTATCGTCTATTTACAACTTCTCCGAGAGCTTGTTTTTCTTCGGTACGTCCACAAAAAAAAATTACCGAAAATTTCGTCTTATTTTTTGCGATTATTCATAAAAATTCGTTTGTTTTACATTTCTTGTTCAGAAATATCTAAAGTTCTTTCGCTTTTTCTCTATTTACATATTCATTTTTTACATTAAAAAGACTAGTTTGGATTGTAAATTTTTTTTCAAACATTCCGATCCCGTATTTTTAAAGCTGCAAGAATAAAATTACGAAAAACGAAAAAGATTCCCATCATCTTCACGCCATCACATTCGTAATATTTCTCCTTCTAATCATCGTAAAAACAAAGAATCATCTTTTTTTATCATCTTCCGAAAGAGAAACGCACATCTAACTACGTTAAATAATTTCTGTTCTAACAAATTTTCAAAAATATAGAATCGAAGAGAAAAAAAATTACTCAACGCAGAGGAATCCAAATAGGAAGTGAAACACGGCCGTTTGTACATCCGAAACTGTGTGTAAACATACAATTCCGATTAAGAGACGCTAAATACAGTTCATAAAAGAGTTCATAAACTTTCTCTGCTTTGGTAGAACAATATATATCCCGTTTCGGAGGACTTCTGCGTATCGGCCGTCAGACCGTAAAAATCTTCTATAGTAGACGCGTCGATTTTCTGAAAAAAATCCAAAAATATCACCAATTTCACAATAATTAACAACAAACTACTTACATCGACCTGATCATCATCGAATAATAACCAAAACCCATGGCTTTTCACTATACTTATGTAATGCCCTCGATTGGGACCGCTTCCGCAATGTATCACAACAGCCACTAAATCGTACAGCCTATCGGGATTCAATGCATCGTCAGACTAAAAAATAAACACACCAAATCATCCCCAAAATCTACCAACAACCAACCAAAACGCACCGTATTAAACAACCGTAACTCCAACGGAAACACCACTCTATGCGACACCTTAATGTGCCTGTTATACTGCTCGACGTACTTGAACCGCTTCAAGTGCAAGGCCAATATGGCAGGCAGCTTCTTCACGCGCATCCGCTTCTGCGCCTCCTGGTAGCTGCTGCACTGGTCGCACTTGAACTTGTTGTCGCTGCACAACGTCTCCGTGTTGCTGAAGCTGCGCAGGCAGTGCGTGATGCTCGTGTTCTGCTCGATGTCCACCTGCAGATCGAAGAAGTCCTCGTCCTTGGTGCTCACCGTTTCGCAGTTCAGGCATCTGGTCTCGCTCGTCAGGATGCCCTGAAAGGAACTCGTGTTATTACTCGTTACGAGGGAATGTAAATGTTTAGTACCTGGAATATCTCGTGTACCCACGATGGTTCGCTCGGGCAATGAGCCGTGCCGTTTTCGCCTGAAGATTTCGATTTCACGTTGTTTGTTGTACTATTTTGTTGTCTTTCAGCTGCAATAAATCGTATTGTATGCAATTACTCGGAGAATATCCCGGAAATTATACTTACCCAGTATAATTTCGCTAATGTGATTAATGAGGAAGTTGAGGAACTCGTGGGCGTCCTGTTGCATGTAATTATCAAACTCCTCTACAACACAAGATACAACTTGATGGGTTATTTAACTAGATATAAGAATACACCACCTTTTTCCTTTCGTAATCGGGCTATGAATTTCTTGGGGGCTATCGAACCGACTTTTTTCTTCTGAGTGGCTATGCTGTGGAACAAATCCGCCAGGCAGGTTAATAGAGTCTCTTTCGTACGTTTGTTTTTCACCTTATACTCGAGCACTCTTTCCCTGAACGGCCTGCAGAAGTAAAGGGCTTGTAAAACGGAATTGCTGTAGCAGGTATTTCCGAACTGCAAATGATAAAAATGAGATTTACAATGTTCTGCATGAATAATGTAAATTAGAGTACTTACGTTGACTAAACCAAAGTAATGCTCGTTGGAGGGAAATTGCTCGGAGCCGATATCTCGCTCTAATTGTGAAATATTAGCACCCTGAAAACGTTAAATAATAGGTAAACGGTTCAGTTCGGTTTGTTGATGTAAACTTTACGCTAGTGACATAATTACTACTGGTTAGTGGTTGTCGGTTTACTTGTTAATCAGTAATTAGTAGAAATAAGTAATTTTACCATGTTTTGGGTGGTTAATTTGTTGGTTTCGTATCCGAAATTTGCAAAATTAAAGCGATTTGTAAATGAGACACCTCCATTTATCGCTCTCGCATTTCGCAGTTGACGTTGTTGACAGTAAAATGACAGTTAAAAAAATTTAAACATAGCCTTTAACTGTTTTATTCTTCAATCAACTATTATGTAATAAGACTAAATAAAAAAGAAGAAACTGTGACATTTGACAACTACATACTTTTTTTTGTTTTTTGAAAATTTTAGATTTGTAGTAAACACAAAAATGCCTGTTGACTATTATCCCAATTAAAAAGAAATAGTATTGTTTCTAATTACTTCAGAATAAAATTACGGCCATTTCAGGAATAAATTAAATAAAAGTAACAAATGACAAAATAACTTTATTAAACTAATAATTCTGAACAATTTTTTTCAACAAAATAACAATTTAATAAAGTATTCGATATATACTTAATAATAATCTCTGGTCAAATACCTATACATAAATAAAGAATGTTTACAACATATGGAATAAAAAATTATAGTTACACATTTAAAATAATTACCTATATACAATTAAAAAATGCGTTTAAAAAAATAAATTTTGCTACCCGGGAGTGAAATTACTATAATAAAAACAATACCAGAAGAGTGAAATTTACGTAAAACCTGAGTGAAAGAAATTATGTCCTAATTACTTTGCACATATAAAAAAAACATCTAAAAACTATTAATCAGCTGGGAAGATTCAAATTCAAAAACGACTCCTTCCTCTTGAAATACTCCGTAAAACGAACGAAAGCGTATCTAAAATAAAATTTAAAACCAATTAATACCTACATATGTAGATATATCGATACCTTTTAAACAAAGTATTATAAACTTAACCATAACTTACCCCATATAATCGAAATTAATGTAGGAATACTCGGCCTGCACAAGCGCCCAAACGCCCCAAAATAAATGCGACAGCAAGACGAATTTATTCACGTGCACGTAAAGACTTTCCACGTCTTTCTGGCTGGGAGGAACACCGGTAAATTCCTCCAGATAAATTCGTATCCAGTTTTGTTGGAACTCCTTATCCGGATAAAGCGAATCGTAATCAAGCGGCTCGGCTAAGCCTATTAAAATGAAGTAATTAAGAGTTTACAGTTTTTAAATATTGCAATTTAATTCATAGTTTTATACAGGAAGAAACTATCTCCCGTTCCAGTTACCTATTGAACAGTTCATATTGACATTGACATTTTGACACTTACCAACGAATTCTGCAAAGTGATTGGCTATATCGAAGGGTTGATAATTCAAGGCGGCGTATTCGTAATCAATAAATGTCACATTGCACAATTGTTCATTGTAGATAACATTGCCCAAAAGTAGATCGTTGTGAGCGAAGACAATAGGCACTCTGGACGTTTCAACGGCGCTTTTCACCCTTCGCAATTCCTCCTCGATTATCCCTTTGGCGAAACCGCTCCCGGAAAACCTTCGCAAAATTATTTGGTGTAAGTGTCAAATTAGTAAAGCTAACTTCACATCTACTATAAGCATTGTGAGGTAAGTATTAGTCATAGAGAAATATTCTCTATGGTATTAGTAAATTTTACCTTCGCTGTTTATCCGAATCGCTGAAGACGTCCGGTATCAAGTCCAGAAACCTTCTGATTTTGTCCCAAATGAATGGTGATCCGTTCCTGCCGTCGTCCGGTTGTACTTTGTGCAGGCGCGCCATCTGCCTGGCTACCAATTCGTAAATCACTGGATTTCTAACGGTGTCCGAAGTTAGAGTTTTGCCCGGTAAAAATTTGTAGGCCAAACCGTTTCGGAACGTGGCGTAAAGATCCGGCGCCAGTCCGGCTCTGTTCAGCAGCAATATGTTCCTAAAAAAACGAACGAATCGGCGTTGGCTGTGATATTCTACGGACCGATCGCGGTAGCGGAAGACGCGGGGGTTCTACGTCTGTCAATGTCTTACCTAGTTTCGGCCTTTCTGTCGATTATCAGATCCGTTTTGTTGCCGTAAATTCTCACCAGAACGGTCTCTTCGTCGGCTTCCTCTTCGGGCTTGCACGCCATCAGCTTGTTGGTAATGCCATCTGTCAACAGCTACATATTCATCTTTTATTCTTAAACGATTAGTTTGAGTTTTTGCTAGTTGAATTTCTATTTTAAGTCTCTTTTATCGGTTGTTATAGTAAGTAAGTTGCACGATGAATATTACAAATAGTCCGAGTAATGGGGCTAATTTATATTTGGTCTAGTAGGCCATGATGTGTCAAGTAAACTAAATTGACAAAGACGGTTCTAAATAATTGTAAATTTTAAGGCGATTTGATTTTGATTCAAAAAAGACTTTGAGCAATCCTTTGTAGTTAAGTGACCCTAATAGTTCTCGCTAGATTTGTCTGTAAAATTATTCTGTTTGCTTGAAGATTAGTTTATTTTTAGGACGTGAATCGTGATAAAACGGATCGTTAGATCAAATAAAAATCTGGGCGGAAGCGTTTAATCAAACGAAAAAAAAAAATAATGTAATAGTTAAGGCGATTTGGGATTTTTATTAGCGTAGGTTTTAAAATTGTCAGGATGACTTTCGAAGAAAAAATTCAATTGCGCTATTGAAAAAATTACTTATAATGGTGAGTGTGTAAATAATATCAATAAGTACCTCTATGTAAGTACTATATTGATTATTACAAATTTTGGAGAAAAAAAATATATGAAAGTATCTAATATGCAGTAGTATTGAACTCGGTAATGATGATGCACATAAATTTAAAAAAACAGTATGTTCGATAAGAGAAATAATTCATTAATTAAAATCGACCCTGAGTGTTGATCTCTTAATAGTTTTTATCTTGAATAACTTTCCCAAGAAATTCTATAACAAACAATTCTAGATTTAACGTTGCATTGAATTTATGGAATTTTTTGCATAATTCATTATTTTCGTTGCAGTCTGTTAATTGTTTTTTCATTATTTTAATACTTTATACAGATTTTTCTTAATTATGTCAGTGGTTTTACATAGTAATTTTAAAAAATTGTGCACTAAAGTGCATCATTTTTGTTTATTAATAAATTTAGTGCAAATAACGATAATTACACTCTTTTTATTTACACGTTTTATTATTATTGTTATATCGATTTTTCATGTTATACTCCAGTAATTAACCGATTGTTAAATTTGCATACTAACAATATAATTTACGATTTTTTAAACGAACCTTGGGCAATTCGAGCTCAATTTTACAGTATTAAATCGACGAATAAATAAACAACAAAATTACCTTAAACGTAATCGAGGATTCCTCCCAATTTGGCCTTATAATTTTCAAAATTTCCAAAGCACCCTTCTCGATTTCCTCCTCCTTAACTTCGATTTCCACACTGGGCACCTCATTGCGCTTTTCCGAACTATCCATAACTCCTTCACCGGTTTATTTTCCTGAAAAAAATCACCATAAAGTACTTATTTATACTCTTCCGCACAATCGAGTAAATAAGCTCAAAAATCGTACCAATATTTTTCGAAAACCGCCAAAAAATTCGCACGTATCGACGATATTGAAACCAATAAATAAAAAAAAGTTATTATCACAAAAATACCGAGCGATTAATGAATAAATAAATAAATAATCGAGCGGTGTTTCCTCTAGCTGCGTGCTGCCCGTTCGAAATCGAAGCGAATAATGAATGACGAAACGCGAATTTCATTTAATATAATAAAGTGATATTTAGTTGTGTTGTGTTGTCGCTGGTCTGTGTATTTATACTTATAGTACTTATACTTACACACGCACGCTCTCGCATACACACACACTGTACAGTGCATATGTATCGTCGGAAAGAAGGTTGATAAGCGTATGGGAGGACGAGTCGAATAATCAACAATACAATAAATTACCATAATCGTTTCGATACGATGCCTTTGCAAGGACGATAAAATGTCCAGGAATGATCATACGATCAAGAACGTTTAATCTGTGTTAATCCGATTTATGACGCTTTTTTTGGAAGATTGTAATCGATTTTTTTTTTCAATGATAGTGTGTGACCTTCATTTTTTTATCGATTTGAATTTAAATATTTTCGTTCTCGACAAAAATCCCCAAATAACAAAATCCCCCAAAATAATATTAACTGTAACTTATCTTTAAATTGTGTTTTGATAACCCTTAGGACCCGGATAAATTGGTGGTTTTTAAGAATTTTCTTCTTTGACAAGGAAATAATATAAGATGTTGCTTATTCAACGCTGCGTATAATTAGTTGCATCAATTTAGTAAATAAAATTGAGAGAATTTTTGTGGGAACTTCAGTTTGCGAAATTACCGATAAAGCGATACGAGAAATTCCTTTTGTTTTGTAATGATTCCTCTGGCGAGTAAACAAGCGCGCTCCCATTAAACTATTTAGTTTTCTCGTATCAATGGAAATTTATGGGGAATAAATTACGCGTGGTTTTTTCATTGCATAAGAAATTCGCAGAAAGCGATTTTTATCGCTTCATATTTAATTAATTCTCTAAAATTGTGTTAATTGATTCGTAATGTTTGTCACAGGATCGATTAATTGTGCGAAAATATTTTCTTATTCAAAAATGCTGTATTTTTGTAAAACACATGTGGAGTTTTCATTAAAAATAGGTTCACAAAACAAGCATGTTCACTGTCTCTTGACAATTAATTATCGTTAGGAAAACTTACCTGACAGCTTTTCTTGTAATTCTGTAAACTCCGGTCCATTTGAGACGCGCCATTGATCAATTAACTCATTAATTTTCTGGAATTTTCATAGTTATCTAAAAAACCAAATGGAAATGTCCTAGTTGAGGTTATCCCAATCCCAATCGTTCGATCGGAGGAAAAGCATCGAAACGTTTTTCGCGCGCATGCGAGCTTTTCTTTCTACAGGGTGAGCCTAATGTATCCATTTGATTTGCATATTTATGTAAATTATTCTCAAGGATATGGGGAACATGTTCACAACTATGTTGAAAATTCAGAGGTAATTTATTCATTATTAAACTGTTTTAATTTTGAAAAACAACTATTTTGTGTTATTAAAAAATATTTGCTGAATAACAGATTGTTACGAGGACAGTAAAAAGAAGAAATCAAGCTTGCTGTAATTCGGATTTCCTTTATACCTTTATTCTGACGTCACATCGCAAATGCCGGATTGATTGATCCTATAAAGTTTAAGCGCCTTGACAAAGGACTTTGCACGGTAAATATATCAATCAAATAAAATAAGTTCTCACTTTTCATTTGTAGAATAAGGAATCGTGGAAAATAAAGGAAACCCGCCAATGATAAATCGTTTATTGGGATATTTCTCAGAACGAATGCAAGTATGAAGACTAACAGAGATATGTCTGAACAGTTCGGCTCCTTTCTCTACTAAATTTTTCATTTATACCTCGATTTCTGGCCGCTACACAAAAGAATAAAGGTTCATTTTTTCCTAACGTCAGTCGGTGTGCCGAGCCAGTTAGGTTCGCTCGGTTTCGTCAATTGATTTACATGAAATGTTCGCTAAATATGCAAGTCCCAACGTGAATTACGGATTGTGCGGTAATCGACGTTTACTGGAGGAATTTGAATTCGAAAATCGAGTAACCTTCATCTAAAGAAATTCTCGGTTCGAGATGCTCTATTCAGTGCGAGAACTGTTCAGAACCGTTCCGAATTCCACTGGGCTTGTCTCGAACTCGCGCAAGCGCAGTAGCTCAGAACTTGCATGATTTAATCTAGTCGCTTGAATAAAATTAGATGAAGGTTTTGAAAATTGATTACTCGAAACGGGCAATTCGTTCTCGAATCGAATCCATCGGCTTTGTGTTGAAATTGTACAGTTGTTCATAAAGAATTCGATAAGAAAACAAACGGTTTTAATAACACTAAAATAGTATTCATTATTCACAATCATCATCATTTAGGCAGTTTGTTAAACTCATTGCTCGATTTTGCCCTAGATAAATGTAGCTACCCCTTTTTCACCATTCATCCTCACACGCACATAATCTAATAGTACCCGAAGGGCCCCTTCCAGCGAGATTTCCCATTCGAAATGAACACGGAAAATCTCGACGAAACTGAGCACGTCAACTAAATACCACAACACAAAAGCATCCTACACATTCCTACAAACAAACAAAAAAAAATAACGAAAACAAATAAATTGATAAAACAGAGATATAATGGAATGTACAAATTATTTATTTTTCAACATAATTTTGCTGTTCCCTTCTTACAAACAGAACCAATCTACATATTATTTTTTTCGTTTAAATATTATAATACTCTACAACAGCTTCGTGCTCAGATGATCCATGACTAAAAAGAAAAAAACAAAGAGGAAATATAATTACAGGGTGCGCGAGAGGGAGCCCGTTTGGTGGGGCCCCCGCCTCCGCCGCCGCCCCTGTATAACATTCTTATACGCCAGCTTATACTAAGCTTACGCTACATCTTTTAAGCTAGACACGTATATATTTATAATATAACTATGGACATCAAAAAAGAAACCATCGATACACGTACGTTGTCATATTTACAACAATGCAGACGTAACAAAAAACTGGGGAATTTGGTTCGACGAGAGTACCGGACTGTTCTCGAACTGTCGCAGATTGGTTCGGTGCTCTTATCGAAACAAACTTGGATATTTTAGAATTGGAATAATACAAACCGGGTGGGAACGAATTTATAAAAAAAATCGATTCGTATTGAAAATGGATTTGCGAATGTCAATTTAAATCTGCCGATGTTACGCCATTTTAAATACGATTTTTAGCGACATTCTCCAACCATTTTCTTGTAATATAACGGCACTTTAATGTTAACGAAATCCGAGCATACACGGCGATAAAACAAATGTACAGCAACATTTTTGTGAAAATTAAAAATAAATTGTGCTACTTTTTTATGTTTATTCAAATACCCCTAGACTCAATAGAGTCTAGACTTTGTTGTTTTTTTTCTCATATATTATATTAAAAGAAAAATTGTAACCTAAATCTATGCACTATACAATTAATTTAATTAATGATAGTGGTGACCCGCCATGAAAATGAACCCGGAGGATATTTCAAACGCGTTTAAAATTATTTACAATGGTACAAGTATTGCGTAATGTACGAGACGAAACGAACGGAGCACCGGAGGCGATACGGACAAAATAATAGAAAAAAATTAAATCGATAACGAATTTGTAGTTACTTATACAATGAACAATAAAACAAAAAAATATATAACAGTAGGAAAAAGTTTAAATAAGTAATAATCGCGGACACCACGCAGGCCACAGTCTTTCAATTAAATATTACATTCAAAATGGGCTCCGTTCGTTTCGCCTCGTACGCCAGAAAATACGGGCCCCATCATAACTAAATTATATACAAACGCCCCCCCTCAGTCACTTTCATCGCCTGCTACCTAGTTTTCTTTTACTTTATTTTATACACTTTATATTTTTTTTACATGTAAACATTTAGAAAATAACGAAAAAACTTATCGGGGGCGAAAGAACGGGCGCGAAACATTTGTTGTTGTTGTTGTTGTTTAAATTTGCGTTTGGTTTGTAGCGTGTACGCGCCGGCGTCGAGGAGATGACAAGGGGAGCGGGGCGCTTAGGCTTTAGTATAGAGGTAGATGGCGACGATGAGACCGTAAAGACCTAATACTTCGGCGAAGATGAGGATCAGGATCATTCCGACGAAGAGCCTCGGCTGTTGGGCTGTGCCCCTCACGCCTGCGTCTCCCACGATGCCGATGGCGAAGCCGGCCGCCAATCCGGAGAATCCTACCGATAGACCGGCGCCCAAATGTACGAAACCGCTGGAATATCAACAAACATTGTTATCACGACAAACAAAAAAATATAAGGGATAAATACACAAAATTTCCATCTACGTTAAAAGTATAGATAATACATATAAAAGATAAAAAAACCACGTTTGATAAATCTGTACAGGATGTTCATTAATTGAGTGCCGATATTTCAGGACGTGAATATTTGGATAATTTTAAGAAGAAGTTTATATCAATGTATGTCCTAAACCTCTTAGTTTTCGAGTTAAAGGGTGTAACAATTTTAGAAAAAAAGTCACTTTTCGTTTATAATTTTCTTATTCTGATATTTTTATGAAATTTCAGACGTAGACGTCACTGGTAATAGAAGAAAATTAATTTTTGTCCCCAAAAAGTGTTTCTAAACATGGTGAGCGCCTATCAAATTTCAACAAAATAGCAGTCTCAAAATGAACTTGGGAAAAAATTGTTTCGGTTTTTATTTTTTTTTTCGGACCGAATTTGCTCCAAAATAAATAAGTATTTTAAAAATAATTTTGGTTTTTAGAAAAAGCAGTGGCGTTCAAACCCCGTACGGACGTCACTGATAAACATTTAAAAAAATCTTTTGCCTCAAAAAATGCTCCTTAATAATTAAAAAGTGTACAAAATTTCATAAAAATATCTGTAGTAATAGGAAAATTGCGATAGAAAAGTTATTTTTTTTTATAAAATTGTAACATTCACATCCTGAAGTGTCGGCACTCAATTAATTAACGCCCTGTATATGAGGGATAAATACACAAAATTTCTATCTACGTTAAAATATAGATAAAAAAATACATATAGAAGATAAAAAATAACATTAGATAACATTGTAGTCCTAAAAATAACTACTCATATCATCACGTTTAATTAACATTGAAAATCTATATCTATATTTTTTTGAAGTCGCTTAATTAGGCGATTCTTGCGTTGCAAATTGTTAATTACTTACTATTTAATTGTAGTAAAATTCGATAATTATCAAAACCATTAAAATTGTAAAATGCACAATTTAACAATTCGTCTTCTCGACTGCATTGAATTACTTCAAAGAAACATAATCAAAAAATGAATAATATGAAAATCTACGGGATTTCTATTATCTGCGCGATTTTAATAATGTAACGGTTGAGTTACAATCAATTCGATAAAAAAAGTCGTTAAAATTGCCGGCTTTCGAGCAACATCAAGGTTTCATTATTATTATTATTATTATTACATAAAGAGATGTAATGAATTCCAAAACGGTTTATTTTCATAGTCGATTCTCGTAAACCAAAAATCCAATTAACATATTTGTTTCGCCCAAATGAAATTTTCGAACCCGAACAAGAAAATTCTAATTTTATAACTACTCGCCCCCGAATCATTCGTCAACAAACTCCAAAAACGAACCAATCAATAATCATCCTTTGTTTACCTTTTTTATCGACGAAAAACACACCAAATTACCTCCCATATAAACTATTATTCATACTACTTCCTTAATGGTCTCATTACAACTCCTTAGAAGTAATACATGCAACGAAACGCAGCATTAAACTTACTGTGTAAACGTAGAAAAAAAACCTACGTTTACACGGCAATATAAAATCGCACGGAGCTTCTCGAATACGGTACTGTGCAAACCTAAGAAAAATATACGTTTGCACGGTAGTATAAAATCGGGTGGAGTTTCTCGAATGCGGTACTTACGTGAACAAGGAGTACTCGCTGCTATCCGCGAGATTACCGGCGATCAAAACGGCTATGACCAATCCGTAAATGGCAATGATACCGGCCATGACGACGGGGATGATGCATTTCATGATGAGTTCTGGCCTCATCACGGACATGGCGGCGATACCGGTACCGGATTTCGCGGTACCATAGGCCGCGCCCAGCGCTAAAACACAAAATTATACTGTAGATTCGATGAAATTGATGTGTATATCCAATTTTTGGAGACATTTTTTTGATTCCACATGGCGAAATTCGTGCGCAGTTTATTTCAAAAGTGAAAATTTCACGTCCAGCAAAAAGTATACATTTTCACGGCGTATGAATTTTCGTTCGGGTATTTGGGAAAAGTCGCGGAAAAAAAAAGTTTCCTCTACCGATTCTAAATTTAGGACGACAAGCAGGTATTTATAAATTAAAAGAAGCCGAGCGAGATTTATCGGGTGTGTTTGTGTTTTTCGATAGAAATAAATTGATTAACTCGGAAACGTTGTTTTAGCGAAAATTCGTTAGCTGTTTGGAATTACATTTTTCATCGAATATTGAACTGTATTTCGTTGTATACAATTTCTCAAAATTACCATCTTTCGATTAGGCAAGAAAAATTCGAGTTTTTCCATATATAAAGCGAAGCGAAAATACAAAAATCCCAAAATCCAGCGCAACTTTTAGACTAGACATGTTTGATAGACATTTGGCCAATGTCCAAGAAGCGGCCCGCTCCATTCACCAAGGACGCCGCATTTTCTACCGTAGCGTCAGAGTAATTCCCCAGGTATCCGAGAAACAAGCCAGGCACAATAATAAACACCACTATCCATTTTACCGATCCCTAGTTTGCGGTCGAGTAGCCACTACTCAATGTAGAATAGGTTGAATACACACGTCTAAATAGTGTCATTTGCGGATGTCAAATTTATGAAATTTTAGGTATAGAGGTGGAAGGTAATAGTGTAAAGATGTTATAATATAACCGTTATTTTTTGATAATTTCAATTGAAAAAATGCATGAAAATTAGAGCAGTACAATAGATTATTTAACATTACAAACCTAGTAGAATGTTTGCTACATAAATAGGCCATAAATTTTATGACAACAGATTATTTGAAACCAGATAACTAAGATAAATGTTTTATTTGTTGAGAAATATTTTTCAGGAAAATAAAACGAAATGCATAGAGAAATAAATACACTTTAAAAATAGACTAATTTTAAGTAAAGCGACCAACAGATACCGATTGTACTATACTAGTGTTAATTAACAATAGTCAATTAAAACAGCCATTAAAAATGCATATAATTTACTATCGAATTAAATCGAGAATATTGAATTCAACGAGGAAAAATGTAATCAAAAGAAAAGTCAGTTTAGGTAAAAAAAAAATATAAATTTTAATTATTAGCGCACGTCGACTGTGTAAATTTTTCCACGGTCGGGAACGTTATCGCTACAAATATATCGTTCAGCATTTCAAACGGTCGTACTAATTGCAATTTACCTTTACAAATTAATAATCAGAGGGACTTTAAATGCCCACTTTCAATTGAAATAAGGCGAAATGTATTATGTTTAAAGCCAAAGGTCAATTTCCTGCAATAGACTAGACTCCTACCAGACCAGAATGATTACATTTTAACAGGTGGTCTTCGCTCTTTAAGACCAAAATCGAGGTCAAGTTAATAATTCATTCACAATTTATTTCCATTAGGATGAGGATTTTGTATACAAAACAACTGATAAATCGGAAAAATTGTACTTATTGTCTAGTATTGTCTTTGCCCTTGGGATATTTTATTCTTCTCGATTGCATCTGAGAGGTCTTGTGATCATAATGAAACGTCAGTCACATCTAGAGAATTACGTAAAACGTGGTAAAGTAGAAAACATATAAGTAAAGAGTTTATTCAATTTCACAAGATCCAATCCAAAGCACCTTTCCAGGGAATAATTTGAACGAGTAAATAGTTCAAAAAAATCCCCAAATAATCGAATAATCTCTGCGGTTTCATTTATAATAACGTATTTTTTTTCGATTATCATCCGGAACGAAAATCTCGTGCATTAGCCCGACGCCACTCCTATCACATGACAATTAACAATGAGATAAGGAGATAAGGAAAACGAAACCCGATCATATGACGATGGAATCGATTCAATTGCTTAATTTTATAATAAAATAGACAATTAAATCAACATTTTTATAACATCACGTGACAAATACAATCAAGTTAAAAGTAACAGAAATGTAGTAAATCGAATTAATCGACTGATTAATAACGTAAAGCCCGTTTACTTTACACAAGCTTTTAAATGACACATTAGAGTGAAATAAGGCGAGCAATGTCCATAAAACAATTCCTAAACCGTATCGGAAACATTCGTAATATTAACGAGTTAGTGAATATTAAAGGTATACCTAATTTTTCCATGTGATACATCAACCTTAAAAGAAACCTTGACAGTCACATGTTTATAGGTTACACCCACCCAAACAGGGCAACAAATTCATATTTTTATATTAAAAAATATACAAATTTTGGGTTTAAAAGAACTAGCTACAGCTTGGGGAATATTTATTTAATTTGAGTATGCGAGAGTTTAATCAAATTAGTTCAATTTTCACATAAAAAACACCCAAACAGAATCATACTGTTAACCAATGGTTATAAAAGTTACTGATGTGGCTAAGTAAAGTACTCGCTTAAAGTAGAGACTTTGAGGGTTAACAGATATAAAACTGGCGTTACAAATTGAATTTATAGTACAAAAATAGCTGAATAATTCGAATAACAAGCAAGAAAACGGGTGAAAACGATGGAAAGATAGCAAAGTAAAAATCGGGTGGGTCTGTCGAGAGGCATGTGACTCCCATAAGTGGGTCACGATTTTCGCGCGGACGGTCCGCAGAGTAACCAGTTTTCTCGCGAAAATAAAAGCCCTATTCAGCGAGATTTATGCCACCGATACGTTCGATATGCCAGTCAGAAATAGAGGAATACCCGAGACTTGGCATATGACTCGTCCGCTACGCCCATGGTGTCGATTTTGCATCGAACAAAAAAACGGATTTCTCGACGCGAAACGGTGCAAATTCGCCGTTCGCACGTCGTGCTATTAATCGACTATTATTCGCCGAACGGCATCGCAAAGACACCAGTCCGATGGCCGTAAAATCGATAGTTCGAGCCGATCGAAAAATCCGACTTACCGCTGAAAATGATGGCCGAAGCGGCTCCCATCACGCCGAAGAACGGTCCGTAGACGGGGTTTTTCTCGGTATCTGCCATTTCTTGCGTTACGAGGAGTATTTACAGGCCAGAACGGTGTTAAAAGCGCACAACACACTGCGGAACTAGCGAACCCACTGACAAATATGGCTTACGCGACCGCCACCAGCAAGAATGGGTCATGTGACGACGAGAGGATTTCGGGTGGTGATTCGGCGACGTTGATTGGTCGGATTCGAGTCGAAGGTCGAATTGTCGGCAAGGTAATTGGTCGACGCGGTGACGTCATTCGAAAGATGGAGCGCATGACGTGCGAGTTTTGGGGAATTAGGCAATATTTTTCGATGGGATTATTATGTAAAATCGTCCCGACATTTTAGATAATGTAACCTGCGAACGAATCATCATGGCCCGTTCGAATTACTTATTTGGAGAATAAATTTCGAATCACATGACAGATGTGCTATTCCGAGTTCCGGTTCGGCGGGAATTTCGAAAATTTTGCGCCCGCACTCAAAACGCGTGACGTATTTATTTGATGTTCGATTAGCAAATTTCGTTTCGCTAGTACCAAGAAGGTTAGTTTAATAATTATGAGTGCTTTTTGTACGTTCGAATAGTCGCGATAATGCACAGACGCCTAACCAGCTCGTTTGATTTAACAGCCTTGATAAAATTTTATTCTAAAAACTAAAATAAGCGCGTGATATTTATATTTCTCTATGGAACTATAATAGAACTAGTCAAATAGAATCGTAAAATTACTACAATTTGATCGTAAATTTTTTTGTATTTAAATTTTCTTCAAAATAACGGTAATTTTTATACTATTATTTCTCTCTTGATTAACTAGTATTTTGTTACAGTATAAACAATTTACAATCAAATATAAGTGAGAATTTTAAAACTGAATTAATAAAAGTGCTCCTATTACATAATTCCATTAGCGAAATATGTCTGAATTCTATTTAATATTAATAATTGCTAATTTACTTACCGCTTTTTCCACAAATACCATCGATTAAACAACCACCTGCACTATTGTAAAATTGAGAAACATTATACAATAAGTATATATTTCTCGTATAAAATAGAATATCAACATTTGTACAAACGCGGAAAAAATCGAACGAAAATTACAAGTTTCATATCAAACGCTACAATCGACCCCAAACGAAACAACTTCTTCAGCTATATCATTATTATCATCTTCATCATCATCATCCGAAGGCAATTCATCACTTTCGTTTTCATCATTCGTAACGACTGTACTTTGCGACAGGATTTCCTCACCGTGCAAATCCTTGTTTTTCAAATTACCCAGCCAAAACGCCGATGAGCAATTATTCGCCACTAAAGCGGCTTCCACCCTATAAAAAATACATTAGTATTTTAATAAATATAAAAAAAAATGTTTTACCTGTAAACTAAAGATTCCAAAATCTTCCTAAATTGCGGTATATGCGACATAAGAGCGACGTCTTTCGCCGATTTGCTGTAGCAGCACAAATTGTGCAAGAACCTCGTGCTGGTTTGCATCGTTTTGAATATATTCACCACCTCGTCGGGCTTCGATCTCAGCATAATCTCCAAAATGGGTATGCCGTGAGAGAGGAACGTCTTCAATATACCTATGGACTTTTTCAAGAAATACACCAGACATCTCTTTGAAGCCTGGTTCTTCGCTATGGTCATCAAACCTTGCATGGTAAGGGCCGTATTGTACCAAACGGTCAAGTGTTGATCGTTCGTTAGCGATTGAATTTCCAATTTGATTCTGAAACACGCTAGCTACAGTGCGACTGGAATAGCTGGAGACGCGATAGATACCTGTTGAGTAAAGCGTTGCAGAGTCCGTTGTAGAATAAGTGCATGTTGTACTTATCGATGCTTTCTAGCATTGGTAGACAGTCTTCTTTGGATATCAAAAATTCTGTTTGTTCTAAAAACGTTCCGACAAGTCCAACTAACGTTTCGATATTGGCGCTCTCTAAATAAGCCTTTACTAATATAGCGATATTCACGTTAGTATTTTTACCGCTCTCTAATTGCCCTTTTTGATTGTACCTACACAAAAATTCCTATTAATTACAGCAATAGGATAATTATATTTACAGGAAACATTACCATCGTTTCGACAACGACTTTTCGGCCAACGAGGAAATTTTCTTTTGCAATTCCTCCGCGGGCGTCGTTATCGCGTATACGGCTTGTACGATTTTCACCAAATAAACGGCGTGTTGTAATTCCAGACATTGGTCCGTGTAATTCGCGAATCGATCGATGAATTCGATTATTAACCGGTGGGAGGAATGAAACGTTTGCGATCGTTCGTCCGTTGTACGTATGCTTTTCAACATATTCTTCAACACCTACAAATTTATTGATATTTAATCCGTTAATGAAATGACTATCGTTAGTACTAAGTTGATAGTATTGAATCTCCGCTATTCTGGATCTATTCTACTCTAAATTTACTTGCCTATGAGTCTACTCTAGGTACTAATGTACTCTTCTTCCGAGTCTACTCTAGGAACTCTTAATCTACTCTACTCTAAATCTACTTTTCTATGAGTCTACTCTAGGTACTCTGAATGTACTTTTCTCCGAATATATTCTAGGAACTCTGAATCTACTTGTACTGTGAATATAGTCTTCTCAGGATCAACTCTACTCTGAATCTTCTTTACTCTGAATCAACTCAAATCTGCATCTATTCTACTCTGAATCTACTCTATTCTGAATCTACTCTATTCTGAATCTACTCTATTCTGAATCTACTCTAGGAACTCTGAATCAATTCAACTCTGGATCTATTCTACTCTGAATGTACTCTATTCTGAATGTACTCTAGGAACTCTGAATTTACTCTACACTGAGTTTACTCTAGGAAGTCTGAATCTACTCTTCTCTGGATCTACTCTACTCTGAATCTACTCTATTCAGAATCTACTCTACTCGGAACCTTTATTACTCTCAATCAACTCACCTCTGTATCTATTCTACTCTGAATCTACTCTATTCTGAATCTACTCTAAGAACTCTGAATCTACTTCACCGTTACATTTCATATTATTTTGTACCTCTAAATTCCTGGAATGATGAAATCCCGTCCAGCTGAATATCAATAAAAACGCTTCCATGATTAAACCGAAGCAAATTTTATAATCTATCGCCGTCGTCGTGAACATTTCCGGTAAATCCGGACGTCCATCGGTTTCTTTCAACAACCCGTCGAATTCTTTAACGATAGCCTGAAAGTAAATTATCTATTAGATACCCGCAAATTAAACAGGGCAATTAATTAAGCTAAATAAAGATTTAATTAAAAGCTCGACGAGCACCTTGAAGTGGGCGTCCAGATTCGGCAGGATAAATTTGATGTCGGTTATAAAATCCAGCGGTATGACTTCGTTCAAATGGGTGATTCCCGGGTGTTTCCCCTGCGTCGTGACCAGTAATTTCGCCACTAAATCTCGGAGTAAAAATTTCAATTGATCCACGTTTAATTGTTGCCTCGATTGTTGCGTGCTCGACTGGGTGCTGGTGAACGTAGGCGATGGAATCGAGTCGTCCGATTGAAGCTTCAGCGGATACTACAAATACAATATTGTTTTATTATAGTTTACGCATTAGATTTTCTTCGATTACCTTCAGTAATAATATAACGTCGGTGTCTAGATCTCTAAAGTGTATTTTATGCTCGGCATCCGGAGGTTTCGTAGCCGAAGGTTTCTTCTTTCTGGCTTGTGTTGATGACGCTTGTGTATTAATATTAGTATCATCTAAATCGACTGTAGAAGCAGATTTTACTTTCTTTTTGGCGTGTTTGGTAGTTTTTGAGCCGGTTTTCACGCTCAAAATAGCAGAATTATTTCCATCATTAAAATAACTGTCCGGTAACTTATGCTCTGGCGCTTTTAGTAGGCACTCCTTCAGTTTATTCTCCACTTCAATAAGGTTCTTAAAAATGTACAGTTAATTATTAATCCCGTATATACAGGGTGTTAATTAATGCAATGTACTTATTTTAACGGATACATTAAAACAAGTACATTGCATTAATTAACACCCTGTATACAAAGAGTACATACTTCGAGCCTTTTGACCACTTTCTGCCTAAGTTTCTTAACTTTTTGCGTGACGAATCCGCTGATTATCTCCCGAAACCAGTTGCAGCAATGGAACAAACAATCGATTATCCGGATGGCTTCGGTCGAATCCAAATCGGCCGGATCGTATTCCGGTAACACTACAGCGCATCCCAACAGAGCGTCGATAGTGGAGAGTTTGCCGTTCTGTGGCCTGTAATGTAGCAAACGCAACAGCCGAAAGTGCGAGGCCAGCACCGATATCAAAGGGCTCTGTTTCGATGTCAACCCACCGATGTTGATGCCCATTGATGTTTCCGCTTCGGACGGGCTGAAAAGTAACTATTAGTACTTTTATACGTTGATTAGGCGAGTTTTGCACCTGTTTAGGTTATATTGAAAGCTCAATTCGAAGTCGTTTGCAGTGGAAGGAACGGATTCCACGACGTAGGTTTTGAGAAAATCCGCCGTAACGGTTTCGTACAGCCACGCCAGGAACATATCGTCCAAATGGTGGTTTATAATAAGCATCGAGGCCAATTGATCGTAGTATAGTCCGGTCAAATCGGTGTACTCCTTGCAAGAATTATGCACCAATTCTAAGAGAGTGGCTGCTTCTTTCGCCGGTCCGTTTGGCAGGTCCCCCAACCGCCTCAACGACGATGTGGGTAAAGCTTGCGAAGGGTTCTCCGATACTTTAGCTATGTTACGTGCCATTACTACGGCTGCGATTATACCCCTGAAACAATTCGATTAGACTCACTACAAACTAATTAATCGTATAATCTACCTGCATCTGATGGATTTCTTCCAACAAGACAACTGTTTCCTGACTAATATATAAATTTCGTTTTGATAACCCGAAGCGGAACCGTCTCGATCGAACGTCAAACTACACAGTATTTCAAAAACCACTTTGACATCTTTGAGTTCCAGTTCATCGACTTTGTCCAGTAGCCGCATTAAGACGTCCGTGTGACGTTGGAGTTTTTCTTTAGCGTTCAAAAACGACGATAAAATGCTCAAGACGTGTCCGATCGCTTTCTTCGTACCGGCCCCGGTGCAATCTACGAGCTTGTCGAGTATCTCCCTGCGGTACATCGACTCCGCGTATTCGTAGCCGAATAGCAACTTGAAAAGAGTCGAGGAGAACTCGTCGAGGACGTTGTCGCCCGAGCATCCGATCAAACTGCGACCTCAAAAACGAGAAGATTTAGTAATACTGTTTGATTTCTCGTATACTGATCATACCTATATCTAAAATGCAGTTGAAATAGTTTGTTAAAATCTGTTGGGGTAAATACTTTTCGAACAGCTTCTCGAGCAAATCGATCTTGAACAAACCGGATTGGACTCTCTTTTTGAACACCGCTTCTACGATGCGCCTTTTGAACATTGCCACTTTGTAGATCATGAACAGTATGAGATAATCGATTGGTTTGTGATTGCTGTGCGATTTGACGCTGGATATCACATTAAGCCAGCCTTCTAGTATACTTTTCGACATGAATAACTGCAATTTGTGAAACACGAGGACTTTTAGAGTTTCGTTTTCTTTGCTTTGGTCCGATAGAGCCATTAAGGAATTAATGGCGTTTCTGATTTTTAAAAGTATCGAAATCGGTACTGAAGTCGTTGCTTTCAAACGAGACATGAGAAACTGAAATAAAACAGAGCATAAGCGAATTTAAAAAACTTTCGATGAGAATATTTACTGATAAAAAGACGGGAAAATCATTGGGACAAACTCCACTAGTCATTCTATCTAAAATTTTATCTTGAACAATATCCCCGGTCTCGCTATCCAGATCCAAAGCATCTAGGCAATCGATTACGGCAGACGTTAAATCGCTTTTGTCAGGATCATCCAGTAAATTGCACAGTTGTCTGGCGGTTTCTTTCACTTGGCTATCCGTTATTATACCGGGAATTATGTCTAGTATTTCCAGTTGTGCGGGATGCGGGGCTATTTCCAGTATATCGATCAATTTTTCGAACAGCAAATCCGGATCTTTTACAAAAGGAATATATCGAAAAGCGTTTATTAGCAAAGCCAGCCAAACGTGGTCATCGACCGAATCCGAACATAAAGTTGCAATTTCGTCCAGCAGGATTTCAGTTATGTATGTTTGTATCGTTGAAACGTTCAAGAATATCCTGAAAAAATAAATTTATCAAGTGAATTCGAAGGGTGATTTGCGACTTACTTGAATAAACTCTCTCGTTTGGCGTTCCTATTCGATTCAGCATCGTTTTTCTTCGATAGTACGGTCGGTGTTAGGGCTTTTCGAAAGAGGCTTTCTTTCTTACGCATGCAATTCAAAGCTGTCGAGAAGCTATCGAGAGTGGTTTTCGAGCACAAGTGCTTTTCGAGGTTTCGAATAATTAATGCCTGTTCTTGCGTAAGTACGTGGGGATCGTCGTTACACGATAATTCGATGCCGGCTTCTTCCAGTACCGTTGAAAATGTTTGTAAAGCTTCTTTAGTCTTTTGTGATGCGTTTGGTGATGTCAGTTCTTCGACGAATGGATTAAATTCAGTCATTTTTATGTTATTGTATTACTATTGTTAAAATGCTATGTTAAAACTTAAAACTATAAAAATATCATGAAAGAAACAAAATACTCTTCACTAATGTTTACGTTATTTTAAAATTAATTTTAAGGTTACTGTCATTTGTCATTAAAAATTATTCTTTTTTTCTTATATATTTTGTTTGTTTTCTGGAAATACTGTACGAATTCAAAGAAAATTGTAATAATTATTTGCTATAAATTATCTTAAATTTTATAGACAACATACTTTTCACAGCGTTTACATTATTTTAAATTTTAAGGTATCTGTCATTTAAACAATTCTTCTTTTTTTAAAATTATGGTCTTGATTTTGGGTGTTTTCTGTATGAATTCAATGGGTCACTGACTATTTATTGACCATTTTCAAAAAATAACGATCAGGGAAAACTAACATGCGATTCAAAAAAACAGTAAGTTTATATTTACATACAACAGGAATGAAAGAAATTGAACGCTAAACATCAACATTAGCTCAATGTTTCTCTAAAGCTTTGGCTAAAAGATCATTCATCGATGTTAATAAAATTCGCGGATCATCGACCAATCCAGCTCCTACCATCGAATTTGCAAATAGCTAAAACAAAGCAACATTAATTTTTTATTCCTTGCACATACAGGGTGTCCCTCAACAAGTTTAAACTATCCCGATCAATGACAATCAATAATCTACTTCTATCTATTTAGGGATAGTTCTAGCTCATCTTAAGACACGCTATATAGTCGTTAACATTCACCTGCTTAGCTAACAGCTCGGCTAACTCCGGATTTTCCCCGGTTAATTTGTGCAGTTTCTTAATAATCGGATGCCTAAAAAAATCAATAAACTCAATAACTATAATATCGAATTGATTAACGGAAACGTCTTACTTGGGATTGAGCTCGAATCTCGGCTGTAAAATGGAGTACCTCTTGTCTTCGGGCACGTTATGACTTTGGGTACGAATGAAATGCCTGGCCGCCGCCATTTCTTCAACGGTTATAACACAAGGATGGCTTTCCAGGCGATTCGTCGCGTTCACAGCGGCAACTTTGTCGCCTAATTTGTCCTTAATCCAAGCGGTTAAATCGTTGATTTCGCTACGCTTTAAACTGTCGTCTCCTGTTCAAAATAACAGATAATTTAACATTCACACATTCACATAGTAGATGAATTTTACCTAAATTGGTAAGATCTATGGCTTGCTTGTCCTCTCTCATGTCCTTTTCCACGGACACCAACTTGTTGCCTTTGAATTGTTGCAATTGCATCAGCACTAGCTCGTCGTAGGGCTCGTAACAGAAGAGGACTTCTTGTTTCTTGGTTTTGAGAGATTCGTAGTAAGGGGAATTTTCGGCCAGTGTACGACTGAAAAAATTACAAGTTCTTTCGTTTTCTTATTAACTTTGAGTAGATCGAATTCACCTGGGCGCTGCTAAATAAAATATCGTCCTGTTTTCCTTGGCTCTGGCCAAATAATCGTTTAAGGTAACTTTTTTATTCGCTTCTTCGTGTGATGATTCGAATAGAAGCAAATTTGCTGCATCTTCCTTTTCTGTTTGATTATAATTGGTAATGATGCCTTCTTTGATGAATATACCGTAATCTTTATAAAACTTTTCAAATTCCACTGGGTTCTTCTTCAACTGTTCTTGTAAAAATTTGATAACCCTCGAAGTAAGTACATCTCGCAGTTTGCTGGAATCGATAAAACATTAATTATGCAGTTTACTTGGATTTTTAGATATTTTACTTAATAAGAGCGCTATTTTGCAATAATTCCCTGCTCAAATTCAAAGGGATATCTTCAGAATCCACTACACCTTTAACGAATCGCAACCATTTCGGTAAAATATTGTCAGTCTTGTTCTTTATGAGGATCTTTTTAGTATACAGAGCTACACCGGTTTCTGTTTCTCTAGATATTTCGAATAAACCTAAAATAAAACATCTTAATAAATGTACTAACAGAGTTATTACAAGCCAACTGACCTGGTTTCCCTTCAGGGAAATAAAGCAACGCTCGAATAGAAAGCGGAGCGTCCGTTTTATAATGTAAAGTATAACGAGGTGTGTCATAACTGCCGCTAATGAACCTGTAAAAATCGTTGTGCTGCTGAAGAGATACAGATTTGGGATCGGAAATCCACAGAGGCTGGACTATGTTGGTTTTTTTGCCATTCAAATACACGGGACTTCCCACGAAATTGCTGTATTTATTTATCACGTTCTTAATCGTATCTTCATCAGCGAATTCTCTGCAATCCCCTTTTAAATGAATGACTATTTTCGTGCCGTTCTGAACACCTTCGGCCGGTTGAATTTCATACGAACCGGTTCTGAAATATGCAATACGTTTAGATGCATAAAATGAGAAAAATCATGCAAATTACCCATCGGACGTCCATTTATGGCCAGTTTCATCACCAGATTTTTTAGAATACACATCAACCTTATCGGCTACCATGAAAGCACTATAAAAACCAACTCCAAATTGTCCTATAATGTTGTTATCACCGCTGGCAGCTTTTTCCTTTATTTGCTCCATAAATGCCTAGAATAGCAACTTAAAATATAATCTACACAATTTAAAATTAAATGAAAATATACCTTAGATCCAGATTTAGCAATGATACCCAAATGCGATATTAATTCATCTTTAGTCATTCCAATCCCAGTATCCTAAAACATAATTGAATAATTTTATTCATCGTATTAAGGAGATAAAACAGGTAACCTAATACCTGTATAGTTAGAGTCCGATTGTGTTTGTCGGTCGATATATGAATCTCTAAAGCCCTATCCAAGTCTTTGATGTTTTTGGATTCCTCGCCACCGGTGGCTACGATGTACCTGAATTTTTCCAAAGCATCGCTGGCATTCGATATTAATTCTCGGACAAATACCTCTTTTTCTGAGTACAAGGATCTCGCTACGATGTCTAATAACATCCTGGTCTCCGCCTGGAATTCGTATTTTTGACTTTCACCTGGAACAACATGTTTTTTCACATACTTTTTCTCGAATTCTTTGGAATAACATGTTTAATATTTTTAGGCTTACCTATGGGTTTTTCTGTATCTTTAATGATCGAATGATGTTCGTCTTTTGCAGACGTTTCAGTGCTTAACAATCTCGGAAAATTGTAATTTTCTGCAAAAGAAGTTTAAATTTTTATATTTTAAAATAAATTATAACCTCGAACTTTACTCACGAAAAATTAATCTCCGTTTAGCGTACGAATTTCTGAACACTGCATTCTTGGCTTCGAATTGGAGATAACGACACGTTAATAAGCGACTTACAATTAGTTTATTTAACGACATTTTTGTTGTTTTTGTCGTAATTTATTTAAAAAATTCACGATACTTTTTCAGGGGTTATGTTAGAAATTCAATTGACAATTGACAGAATATTTTAATTATTGTTTCTTCTAGTTCTTTTGTTCCAATGGCCTTTTGCTATACAATTTTTGGCAAATTGAAACTAATGCGCTAATTCGCCATGTGTGTTCGGAATTTAAATATTTCAATTACTCGAGTTTAAATTTGTTCAAATTCTCAAAAGAAATTAAGAGTTTTAATTAAATAATTTCATAAAATAAGATAATTAAAATGTTGACTGACATTTCAACTGACGTTAGGAATGACGTGTGACATTGACGTTTAATTGTGTCATGGCCTCCGGATGGTTCGAAAAAATCAAAGTGGAAAGTCGCCTAGCAAAAAATCACGAAAAAGTGACCCTGATGCTTCCCACAGTAATGTGATGTTCACCACATACACGAACACATCTGTTCACAAACGAAACTTGTGCATCGTATCCTTTCCCATCATATTTTTATTCAACATTTTGCGCTCGATCCTCTACCAAATTTTCGTTATTTTACGCTTTGTTTACTTCAGTTCATCCACTTATTTCGTGCGTCATCGTATAACTGATAGCGAGAATGTCGAAAGAAACAGTTCTGTAGTAATCGAAGAAGTAACGGAAATGTCGCAGACCAGGACCACAGCCCCAGGTCCCGGGGATCCATTACTAGCCAAACAAAAACACCACCATCGCAGGGCATTCGAGTACATTTCAAAAGCACTAAAAATCGACGAAGAAAATGAAGGTTTGTTTATCTTCTATTTAAATTATCCCCAATTTAATGCACTCAACTTTATGCGCTTATATTAATCATTGTTGTGGTAATCGAATTAAATTAACTGATGAATAATTGTGGTTATTATTTTACATTTTTTACATTACTGATTTTGTTGTTTCTGTTTCAGGTCAGAAAGAATTGGCTATTGATTTGTACCGTAAAGGCATAACGGAACTGGAATTGGGAATTGCCGTGCAATGCTGGGGTGGTAAAGGAGAAGTGTGGGAAAGGGCGCAGAGATTGCACGAAAAAATGAAGACTAATTTGGCTATGGCTAAAGATAGATTGCAATTTTTAGGTATGTTTTTTAATGGTACAAGTTTCATTTCAGATCTAGTTGAAGCATGTAGTTGTAGTGGAAATAATTATGTAATATTTAATTTATTTTTAATAATACAGTTAGTTGTAAATATGTGGTTATCGAATACAAACAAGAAAACACATTATTTTGTACATTATGTATTTATTTTCAATGCACCAAAGGTCTTTTATTAATTTGCTTTATTTTTATTTTTTATCATGTATTTGATGGTTTATCAAATTTGTTATTAATCGTAGTGAAAAATGTTCGAATTTGATATTCCACATAGATGATTAAATAGATAATTTTCTTTTTTTTTTCAATTAGATTTTTTATTTGTAGAAAGCATGGATAGTGCACTTAATTCAGAAGTAAATGAACCGAGAGAATCTCCCAAACTTTCGTACACTACCAATATTCCCACACCTAAAACTTATGCTCCAGGTATAGATTTCTACCTATGCAAAACCTTCTTTTTCTATCATACTCACAATAAAATCACATAACAATGGAAATTAATAAAGTTATGAAATTTCAGCATCTGGAAAGAAGTTAACGGTGGCAAGCAAACGCCCCACCAATTCTCCTCTATCGAAGAGCCTCACGTTACCCCGATCGATGGGCTCCCGTAACGCCCCCGTGCAACCGGTTCGACCATTCAACAAAATCTCCTCCACCCCACCGGCCATCAAAAAGCAATTATCTATACCGGGAAACTCGGGCTCCCCCGCCCGCAAGTCGGCCAACCTCAACAGCAACAACAACAACAGCGGTAACCGAATCGAATTCCTTACGCGAATAAATTAATTTACGCGGTAAATTCGTAGGAGCGAGCTCGAGCAAACCGGGCCAACGGGCCCGCTCGATGTCCCTGCGGGGCGTCGATCCCAAACTGGCCAACGCGGTCCTGGATGAGATAGTGGAAGGCGGGCAATCGGTGCAGTGGGAAGACATCGTGGGACAGGACGCCGCCAAGCAGGCTCTGCAGGAGATGGTGATCTTGCCTTCGTTGCGCCCCGAACTGTTCACCGGTTTGAGGACCCCGGCCAGGGGTTTGTTGTTGTTTGGTCCGCCGGGTAACGGGAAGACTCTACTCGCTAGAGCTGTCGCCACCGAATGTCAGGTATATAGGGTGTCAATTAATGCAATGTACTTGTTTTAATGGGTGATTCTTGAGCTAATTTTGAGTCGAAAAGTTCATATAAAGATTTGTCCTCTGAAGTTCGGTTTTCGATATACCTACAGGGTTGTATTTTTATTTTGAAAATTTGAAAAAATGCTTGCGATATTACATTATTGAATTCTAGGATAAAAAAATATGGTATAAATACGCATGTACAATATCTATTTACATAAAATGTCTTCTTCTTATTATGACTTTAGGTAAGTAAATAGTTTTTGGTGTGATGTTTTAGATGTAACTAGAGTTTTTAATTATTTTCTTTAAAATGATAAGTTCTACGGCAAAAACGCGGCAAAAACGCTAAAAAACAGTGTCGTACTACTTTTTTAGATAAAATTGTACCAAGACCTACCCATATCTACGCCACTGGTTAAAATAAAAAAATATTTTCTGTTTAAAAAATGCGTATTTATACCATAATATGTTATCCTAGAATTCAATGTAATATCGCAAACGGTTTTTCAAATTTATGAAAAAAACCTAAATAAAAATAAAACTTTACAACCCCTGTATATCGAAAACCGAGCTTCGAAGAACATACCTTTATATGAACTTTTCGACTCAAAATTAGCCCAAGAATCGCCCGTTAAAATAAGTACATTGCATTGATTAACACCATGTATAAAGCATTATTTGTTAAGTTTGATGTGTAATAATAATTCGTATTTCAGGCGACATTTTTTTCGATAAGCGCTGCTAGTTTGACTTCTAAATACGTGGGAGACGGCGAGAAAATGGTGCGGGCGTTGTTCGCCATTGCCAGGGAGCTGCAGCCTTCTATTATATTTATCGATGAGGTGGATTCGTTGTTGTCGGAGAGATCGAATAACGAACACGAGGCCAGTCGTAGATTGAAAACGGAGTTTCTGGTCGAATTCGACGGGTTGCCGAGCAATCCGGAAAGCGAAAAAGTATGTTATTAGAGTATATTATAAGAGTTTATAAGCATATTTTGTTCTTCAGGTATTAGTAATGGCGGCTACGAATAGACCTCAGGAATTGGACGAGGCGGCTTTGAGACGATTCCCTAAAAGGGTGTACGTGAGTTTACCGAATTTAGAAACTAGAGCGAAGTTGTTGAAGAAATTGTTGGAGAAACAGGGTTGTACTTTGACGCAACAGGAATTGAAACGATTGTCTACGTTAACCGATGGTTATTCCGGTAGCGATTTAACAGCTTTAGCTAAGGATGCCGCTTTGGGCCCCATAAGAGGTAAATATTGTCGATGTAAAACAAATATCAATGAGTTACAAAAATCAGAGTTTACAAAATCTAAGAATTTTCTAAAATTGTCAAATGGCAAAATGACAATTGACCCTTAAAAGAGTACATAGTGAAATTTCTAAGAAAACTTCTGAATCTGAATTATTTAGAGCTCAAATTGTGTCATTTCTAACATGTGGAAAATATAACTACGCAAAAAATTCTTATTTCTTGACTATTCGGCTGAATGGCCTTTAGGAAGCTAGTAAACTTATAGAAAAAACAAGAAGAAATTGAAAATTACTATACAACTTGACTTGATTAAGCTTCTATCTATTTTTATATCTATTTTGTGTATTATTTTTAAAAGTTGGTCACAATGCTTAGCAAGTATGACGACAGGAGTGACGTATATTTGTTTTGCACCGACTGTATTTCGATTGTATTTTTAAGATTATTCTCTAAATAGTGTGTTTTTTTAGAGTTACAACCGGAACAAGTGAAGCAAATGGACCCAAGCGCGGTGCGTGGGATTACTATTAACGATTTCTTGGATTCGTTGAAGCGCATCAGACGTAGCGTGTCACCTCAGAGCCTTGTAGCTTACGAAAAGTGGTCTTTACAGTACGGTGATGTTTCCCTGTAAAGTTTTCACATTCCTTGTATACTCACTGTGTTTTTAGTTAGTTGAATTTTTTATTTATCTGTGATATTCATTGATTTGATGCTTTGTTTAACGTGGTGATTGTTCACAAGATGCCGCTCTTTTCTATCGCAGGATTTTATAGTGTTTTCAATTGGATTGTGTTTGTAGTGAGTAATACAAATTGATACGGGTTTTTCAGAGGGTTTTAATTAAGTGTGTAGATGTTTGTTTAAATTTTTAAAGGGATGTAACGAGTGTGTTTTTGTGAAAAATCACCACTTTGTGTGAACTAAAATTGTTTTTAGTGGTTTTTGTTAATTTCCTATTTCTTTCGTAGCGGCGAAAAAAATGTGTAGTTTTAGGTGAAATAGTGTATTTCGTTTCATTTGTACAAAGTTTCGGTTGAAATAATTGTTTTGTTGATGGTTTCGGACCAATTTATTGTTTAACTCGTACGCAAAAAAATGCTTTTTTAATAATTGTATTTTTAACGAAATGTAATTTTTTTTTAATTAGTCTCGTTTGTTTTGTGTTCCTCCTTTATTCTCTAAAAAAATTCAATACACTTTATAATGAATTTTAGTAATATGAATGGCCTTGTATCTGATAGGTACTTAGTCAACTCATATGCAAAGTACACTAAAACAAAAGTCCCTATGCGATTAATACTACAAAGACACAAACATTTTTAACCAACTAATGTCCTTTCGATTCGTAATTTAATCTGCAAGTTTCCTGGAACAATTTCAACGTGGAATGACCCGTCTCTTCGACCATTTTCCTGAAAGCACCGTACTTGTTCTGGAGTAGAACGTGAGGATGATCGAACTCTTTAACTTCTCCGTTATCCAGCACCAGAACTTTGTCCGAGTCTATGATCGTGTGGAGACGATGGGCCACTGTTAGAACCGTGCAATCCGAGAATTTCTCCCTTATGGTCTTCTGTATTAAAGCATCAGTCCTAAAATAGAGTATGAATATTAATCGAATGATTGTCGATGTACGTTTTGTGCTTACTGTGGATCTACGTTGGCTGTAGCTTCATCCAGCACTAAAATCTTGTTATTCCTGATGATAGCTCTAGCCAAACAAATCAGTTGTCTTTGACCTACGCTGTAGTTCAAACCTCTGTCCATAACGCGGTTTTCCAGGCGATTTACCACGTTATTCGGGTCTTTCAGTTCCACTTCGTCCAACGTTTTGTACAGCAGGTCGTCTTTGAACTCGTCGAACGGGTCCAAGTTGTACCTCAGAGTGCCGGAGAACAGGATCGGATCTTGAGGTATGATCGAAATGTTCGACCGGAGTTTCTCCAGGCTTATTTCGCGAGTATCGATGCCATCGATTCGGATTTTCCCTTCGGTTTTCACTAATCGGAACAGAGCGCCTATGAGAGAGGATTTTCCAGCGCCCGTTCTACCTACAACTCCAACCTGAAAGCAAACGAATCGACTCATTAACCACGTAATTTTAGAAATATAAGTAATTGGTGGTACCTTTTCATTGGGTTTTATATCTATACTTATATCGTTTAAGACAACAGGTCCATCCTCCATGTATTTCATACTTAAATTGTCGATTTTAATGTTGCCTCTATCGGGCCATCCTTTGACAGGTGTGAGTGGATTCACAGGCTGCAATTCGGGCTCTAATTCGTTATATTCCAACACCCTTTCCACGGACATCAATTGGTTCGATACATCGGCGGAGAACCTCACCAGAAACTGGATGTTCGCAGTCAACGCCGATGCTTGGTTAATAGCCAAACCTACGTCGCTTCCTGTTAGTCCAAAATCTACAAAATAGATGCTAGAAAGCGGCAGGATTCGAACAGAAAACGTCCACTTACAATCTCCCAGTGCGATCAAACCGAACGTGATCGAACTGATGAAGACCAAACAGATAAAGTCCAGCGCGAAACCGAACGCCGAGCTGGTGCTGATGAACATGAACCAGGAGCTCGAGTGGAAGTCCTGGTGCTTGTCGAACTCGGCCCGAAGGACCTCTTCGGCTCTAAAGGCTCTTATCGTCGTCAAACCTTGCAGGCTCGCCATTAGGTGGTTGAACACAGGACTCTTCGCTACAACAAACATTCATGTAACCATAAAAATATTATTGATACTAACACTTACTTCGTCCTTCGAGCCTTTTGATGTTAGTGGAAGATCTCAAATAAATGCTCCTTAAAATGGAGAATACGATGCTAAGAAAAACCATCACGATTATAGTGTAAGGACTAATGTAGATCACGAGCAGGACGTGGCCGAGCATCTTAAGAAACATCTAAAAATACACCAATAGAACACTCACTCACTTTATAATTATTTATATCTTACCCTTGAACAATTAAACAACAGCATAGGTAGACTTTCATCGACGTTTCCCATGTCCTTCGAGAACCTATTCAGGATCCTCCCGCTCGGATTCTGATCGAAGAATCTCATGTAAGCCCCCGTCACTCCTTTGTACAGCATCAAGTGCAAGGATTCGGCGCAGGACATGACGAATTTGAAGAACAGCAGCGATCTCGATATGGTTGTTACTAGACAAAAAACCAGCACCGCTCCGTACAAAGCGAGGCAAGTGTTGCTCGACCACGACATGTAAAACGGTTGTTCTGATGTTATCGTAGAATTAACCGATCGGCTTTCTTCTATGTTAGTCCAGAAACTGATGAACCAATCGTTTACGGTAGCAGCGCTTTGAGCGACTACCAGGAGTACTCCTAGGAAGATGATTTCTGCTAAGCTCATGCCGGATTGGAAGTAGCGGAGCAATAGCGATCCTTCGACCGTGCCTTTGGAGGTTTTCTCCTGCATTTTATCGTTTATATTCTTCTCCAATTCGTCTTCTTTGTTCGATTTCAATTTGCTGGATTCTTCTTCTAAAGATTCGGTGAGTGATAATTGGCGTTTGATCAATTCCGCTGCTTCTTCACGAAGGTGCACGGTTAAAGGATTATCGGATTTTACCAATTCGGAGTAAGATCCTTCGATTTCGATATTACCCTAAAATCAGTATAATGCTTGTAAAATGTAATGAAAACTTTATGTACGATACTTATAAAATCAGTGCAATACTTGCAATGTATGGAAAGCCTTGTGTGATACTTATAAATTCAGTTTACTACTTGCAATGTGTTGAAAAGTTTTTGTGTGATACTTACATGATTCAGTACTAAAACTCGATTAGCATTGGTTAGATAGTGAACTTGATGGGTAACCAGTACTCTAACTTTCTCCTTCAGAAATCCCTTTATGCAATCATCGTATAAAACTTTGGAAACTAGTATATCGACTGCTGATAGAGGATCATCTAGTAGATAAATATCGGCATCTTTGTATATACCTCTGGCTAGACTGACTCTAGCCTTTTGTCCTCCGCTCAAATTCGCTCCCTTTTCGCCTATGAGCGTCAAGTCTCTATCTGGAAATTGCTTCAAATCCGTCTCTAAAGCGCAAACCCTCAACACCTCATCGTATCTGGATTTATCGTATTTAGAGCCGAAAAGGATGTTTTGCCTGATGCTGGCGGAAAATATCCAGGGTTCCTGAGATATATAGGATACAGTCCCGTTGACTGTCACAGAACCTTCGAGTATATCCAGCTCGCCTGAAATAAACTAAAGATTAATATACTGTAGAAATCGTGAGACAAATTTCTACCTAAAATAGTTTGCAATAACGAGCTTTTCCCGCTTCCAACTGGCCCGATAATTCCGATTAACGAGTCTTTTGTAGCTTTAACGTTGATATTTTTCAGTATTTCATCGCTCGAATTTCTATCGTAAGTAGCAGTTACGTTTTTTAGTACCAAAACATCATCTTCAGGGTTCGAGGAACGCTTGTTGAGCACCCGCTGGCTTCGGTACTCCTCGTTTTCCAGGAAGTTCTGGATCCTTCCGATGGAGACCAGGAGCTCGGCGAATTGGGTGATCCCCGAGACGAAAACGCCGGCTAGAGTTTGGGCGAGGATTTGATAGTACGACATGAACACGTACACCTGTAAATTACGATTAAAAATTATAGTATTTCGAGTGTACTATAAACTCACCCTGGAAGCGGTGATGGCCTTTCCGGTGAACACCATCGTGATCAAAGTGACGAACAAAGCGAATCTGTTGTTGAACAAATTACAAGCCATGAAGAATCCCCTCACGTACTGGCCCCTTTTGATGATGTTCAATTCCGCCCTTCTGGCTGCTGCTATCAGCTTCTCGAAGGGCTTCTCCCAGGCGTACATTTTGATCACTTGTACTCCGCCTATCACCTCGTCCATTAGCCTGATCCTTTCGTCGGTTTTCATGGCTGTTATTCTCCTGTATTTGGCCGAGAGTTTTCCGATGTATACTGGAAAAATCGTGTTATATTTACGTGTATAAAATACGTTTAAGTACTTACTTTGTAAGGGCATTATAACGAGTATAGTTAGAACTCCCGGTGCACCGGACCAGCCGATGTCTTGGTAGATAATAAACATGATGATAAGGGCTGATAAGGGTCCTACCCACAACTGGTGTATTAAAGTCGATGCTGTATCGAATCGACTGACATCGTTCGAGATTAAATTCACGATTTTTCCAATGGAGTTTTTCCCTATGGCCGTTTGGCTCAATTTCAAAGCCTACGAAATATTGTTTTAAACTGTGTTAGCTTAATGGAAGAGGCACTTACTTTTCTGTAGATCAAGGCGGTTACGGAAGCCCTGGCTCTCATGCCGGTGTGCATGGAATACATGGTGTATTGGTTCTTCATAAAAGAAGTTAAGGTGTTTAAAAGGACGATTAATCCCGCGTATGCGAAGGCTCTGTCTTTGGTGATGGAGGAGTCCGAATTGTAATAGTTCAACAGCAGGCCCAGGACGTAGGGCTGGCTGATTTTAATGACAACATCTCCGAAGAAAGTCATCAATCCCAAGCTGAGGTATTCCGAACGATAAGAGTGCCACAAGGCTTTCAGTAGGCTTCGTTTTCGATCGGTTTTCGAATTTTGGATCTTCCAGTTACTGGAAAATTAAGAAATTTAATGGTGTAAATGTGGTGTGATTTAATAGATTTACCTTTCTAATTTGTCGCCCAACACGGTGCTCCTGTCTTTTTTTAACGTATTGTAGAGGTCCTCGTACTCGAAATCCTTTTTCATGCCTTTCTTGAATATGGGAAAAGTGAATCTGCAAAACGAAAAAGGGGATTCGCGCATAAAACATGTTTGAAAATCTCTATAAGTTCTTCATCTAAAACGAAAATTCGAAAGGAACATGCACACGCAGAATGCGAATTTAAATACAACAATATACTTACTGCAATTGTTAATTTTTTTAACATTCTGCATGAGTGTCCTATACGATTATTACTGATATAGTCCTTACGATTTAAAGCTAAAGTACAATTTCTTTGGCATATTATTCCATTGATTTTAGTAACATAAACATTTGTTTGTGGTAAGTTCCATTCAAATCCCGCTCGATTTTTTTTATTTAATAAAAAAGTCGAACCTAAAAGAACACTTCATGTACCACAATATTTCTATCTTTCCCAAATAATACAGGGTGTCGCAGAAATATTTTATTGAACAGTGAGCATCTGCAACACCCTCTATTTTTATATTTAAATCTATATTGAGTAATTTTGTTTTACAAATATTTGAAATTTAATTTAAACTCACCCGAAAAATAATATAGAAAATATGTTGCAATTGTCCCTAGGATTGGGATTGTTAATTTCTTTGGTATTGTCCATTTTTTCTCCTGCGCATATACACTTCCCTCTGAAACTGAATAATACTGAATAATACTGAATAACAATGCTTTAAAGACGAGAGAACAATTAAATCTCTTTTATAACGCCTCTGTTGAAAGCAATTTACTTTACAGTAGCTTAAATTAAATGTTTATTCAACTCAATCGCTTTAATAGCAATTATCGGAGCGATATACTCGACAAAATAATCTATTACGATCGGAACAATTCACGGGAAAGTTTATCTACACTGATAGCATCATATTGTTTGATATAAAATTACAATACTGTTTGAAATATCGAGATTGAATAAATGTTTGGAGGTGAGAATAATTTGTTTAAACATGTATAAATCGTCCTTCAATTTTTTTTATTGTGTTACACAAGATTTTGTTTAAACGAGTTTGTAAATTAATATAATTTTTATCAGGGGAATATCTATTATTTGATAATAGTCGTAAAATTATATACGTGATGGTTATTTGATGAGTTTATAGTTTAAAAAATTTCGTATTTTTACTCATCAAGGGTGTTTTAAACTTCGAATCAGGATTAATAGTTATACAGGGTGTTACATAATGACATGCTAATATTTCAGAAGGTGATTCTTTGACCCATTTTAAGAAAAAAACTTCATATGAACATATGTCCTAAACCAAAAATTTATTATTTTTTAATATTAGCACAGCAGTTAATGTAGCGGCAGCGTACAAATGAATGCATTTATTTTTTTTAATGCGAAACGATTAGTCATACGGAAAAAAGTCAAGAAATCAAATTTGTTTTAAATTGAACGAGGATTCCGAAAATAATTTTTATTTGAATATTAGACATTGGCGTACCATTTTTTTCTCCAAAAATATTCAATGCAAAACCCATAGGGACGCCACTGCTGAAAATAATAAAATTATATGTTGATCAGAAAATTCAATTTGATTTATAGAAGACGTGCACCAAATTTCATAAAGATATCTACAATAATATCACAGTCATTACAAAAAAATGATTTTTTTCTTAAAACTTTAACACCCTGTGTCTCAAAAGTTAAAACGTTTAGGACATAGGTTCATATGATTTTTTTTCCTTAAAATAGGTCCAGGAATCACCCCCTTAAATATTAGCATATCATTTTGGAACACCCTGTATAATTAATTTATTTTTTTATATTTGTAACGATTAAATTGCTTCTGTGTTTGTTTAGTGAGATTGATAATAATTAATTACAGCTATGATAGATAGGGATATCACGTTAGAATTTCACATAGAAATTTAATAAAAAAATCATAAAAATAATCTATTTTTAATTTTTATTTTGAATTTCGTACGAATATGAAACTGTCAGTGTCAATTTATCTTCTTTGTATTTATTTTTTGACCTCTTCTTTTTCAGTATTTCGGCACAATAAAGTCAAATTTACAGATAAACAATATTTTCTAGCTACTCGTAATGTGAATTTACCCAAAATTTTCATCTAGTTTATTTGGAAATGATAAGAAAATGAACTTTTCCGATTTCGTTGCCGTTCTTTTCGTTATTGTTTTGTGAATTTATCGTTTTGTCACTTGACAGTGACAGTTCACTTGTCAATGCTCAGATTGATTTGGCGATATTGAAATTAGTTATTTACAATTTTATTTCGTTAATTACAAACATTGCATACAGTTGGTTGTGAGATTAGTTAATTACCAAAAGGTCAGTTCGAAATGTGCGAAAAATACGATTCGAACGGCGAATATTACGACGACAATTTCAAGCGAAAATCGAATTTCCAAACGAAAATCGAAGATGGTAACAGTAACACCGAAACAGCCGGTGAAAATGACGATGGCTCGGGCTCGAAAACGGGAGAATATATCAAAGAATTGCTAGCCGAAAAGATATTAATCGACCAGGGTAGATTGCCCAATGCAACTAGATTGTTGGAGCAAGGTAAAAATCAATTCGTTTATTATTACAAATCCTTAATTAGGATCGATTTTTCTACTATTGTTTTTTTCGAATATTTAGCAATAACTCATTTTTTTGCAAACTTTTGAGCGTTGACTCATAATTAATTTACGTAAAAAGAGGACTACATATTAAAATTAAATACTTATCGCGTTTTATTGCATGCATTACAGAAGTTGCAAAAGTCCAAGCGGTGGGTAGAGTACCAATAAAAGAAAACAAATACGTGGACATATACAGGGAAAAACCGATAAAAGTCACAGTCAAAGTACTCGTACCTGTTAAAGAACATCCAAAGGTAACATTCAACCGCTCGAATTAGTACTAGATTTTCCAAATATAATTTTCCAGTTCAACTTCGTCGGGAAACTCTTGGGACCCAAAGGAAACTCGATGAAACGCCTTCAAGAAGAAACCATGTGCAAGATGGCCGTATTAGGCAGGGGCTCCATGAGAGACAAAAATAAAGAAGAGGAACTCAGGAATTCTCTCGATCCCAAATACAGGTGAATTCGTACAAAAAAACCGACTAGTAAATTGCTAATAATAAACTGTATTTAGTCACTTAACGGACGATTTACACGTGGAAATCTCAGCGCTCGGTCCACCAGCCGAAGCACACGCTAGAGTCGCCTATGCTCTAGCAGAAGTTAGAAAATACCTTATACCGGATAGCAACGATCACATTCGATTAGAGCAAATGAGGGAAATGGAAAGCGAAAGGGAAGTGGGAGAGGAAAGGGAGCCCAAAATACGCAGACCGCCCCCGAGCATCCCCAGACGTAAGTACTAAAAGTCTGCAACGAAGTCATTGCATCGTTGTGAAGTTAGCACTACAGGAATTTGAACTGTTTAAATTCTTCCAGCACCGCCTCCCGCCAGCATGTCTCACGGTCCGCCGCCTCCTTCCGTGCTGCGTACGGCCACCAGGGCTCCGATGTCCACACCGAGGGTGATGCCTGCGAAAACTAAAATCATGTCGATACTCGATCGAGCTCGGGTGGCCATGGAGGAGAGTTACGGCTACGACGAGGAGTACTACAATTCGTCGCCTTCGTACGAATATTCATCGAGGAATCCGTACACGAGCTATCACGATGACTACGACGTGGATTATTACAAGGGTTCTTCGAGTTACGGTGAGTTGTTTTATGAGAATGTCTCTGGTACTAATTCATTGGCTGTATAAGGACGATGGAAGAGGCCTGTGTTGTGAATTGTACCAAAGATGTATGGATGATAATATTCGCTTGGTTATGGTTTAGATGCGGGCATTTTAAATACAAAACCGTGTTTTAATATCAGGCATATTTTATTTGCGTTAAAAATAACATGTTATTAACGGGCTGGCAAACAGGAGGGGACTAAAATAATTGAAATTGAAAATTCGCGACTGTTAAAAAAATGTCGAACGATAAAAAATAACGTACTAATAATTATAATAATATTCTAAAATTCTAAAATATCTAATATAGTCCTAAACGAAACGTTTTAAAAAAATAACAGAAATTTAAACCACGTACTCGATCGCCGCATATTTTAGTATCAGTAAAAACCACGGCCGTATATTTTTGAGGTCTGGAAACAGCCTATATGCTTATGCATTAGAGAATGTGTCCCGTTATTTGAAGACTTTTTGAGGTTCACTTTTGCGCCGCACCGTGGCGAACAATCGGAGGACCAACTTATCTCAGCCAATCAGTGTCGCGCTACATACAAATCGCGGTTGTGTGAAATGACAGTTCAAGCTGTCAAAACTTCAAAAATAATTTTTTGACATTTCCATGACAAAATGAAGAAATACATTAACCGAAGATACGTGAGGTTTGATGTTAACAACAAAATCATCGCTGATTTGAGTATATTTTTATATTTTGTATCTATTTTTAGTTTGAATATAACCTTTCTTAATGCTAATTTTACAGGGTGTCTCATAAGTTCAATAAGTTGATACTTTTAATTCTAAGCAACTTTTTCAAGTAATTTTTTTTAATATTCTGGAAAATAAAAAAGATCGACATTTTTAAAATTTCTTTAAATTTCGAATATTTTCCAATACGCACCTGCCATTACCATCCAGGTGTCAAAAAAATAATAAATAAATTAATGACAAAAAATTATTTTTTCGATTGTTGAATTGAAAATGGCTCATTTTTATACAAATAATAAATTGGTGGATATGTTGATTATTTATGAAAAGTGTTTCCAAAGCGTTTCCAATGGCGTTTCCAAAATGGCGACAATTTTGAGCAGTTCCTTTAACTTTTAATGAACAGGGCCGTATTAACTAACTTTTGAATAATTACAAATTGAAAAAAAAAACATGCTCTCTTATTATCCAGAATATTAAAAAAATTACTTTTTCGGGACAATTTTTCAACGGATGTTTCCAGACATTAGAAATATACGGCCGTGGTAAAAACTGATTATTAAAACGTACCAACCTCAGTTGTGTGGTCTTTACTGGTACTAGTCGACAGCCAACTAAATAATTGTCATTTTAAAACATCTTATGCACAGAACCATCTTCGTCGCGTGGTTGGAAGACGTCTTCGTATGCAAAAGGATCTTCCAGTGTCTCTGCGAGTTCACGTCAAGCTGAAAGTTCTCGTTATAGAACTTCACCTTATTCTAGACCTTTGAAATAAATAAATAAATACTCTCTTAATAATCAAGGTTCCCACTGAACTTAAGTTACTGTTGAATCTGTTAATACTGAGCCCTTAACAAACGATCCTTGGAATTAATTTATTTATTTTTTTTATTCTTGAATAGCATCAATTTTAATGGAATTACCTTGAGAGGATTACACACTGTTTGGTATTATTTTTTTTTTTCGTTTTCATCATATTATTTGCGTGGGAACCTTGTCGGTGTTTCCTATATATCTGTTTTTTGACTTAATACTCTAAAAAAATGTATTAGTGCATGTTGATAAACGGTAAAAATAATACATGTACTTTTTTCACGTTTTATATAAACCACTCGTACAATCTTTTGGGTTTTAAACTATCCGTAAAACGATTTTCGGGTAAACGAATCGCTTAATATCACGTATAATATTAAAATAAAATGGTGGAAACTAATAATTGGTTGTCGTACACAACAATCGAGACCATTTAAAATCCAGGAGGGTGTAGCAGATGTTCTAGTCAAATTGTAGCATGCTCATCGTGTTAAAGTCGAATTAATTAATAATTAAACTAGCTATTAGAAAAATATCAGTGTGTTGAAAACAATTAAATGGATAAATTAGAAAAAGTGTGTATGAACTTAATATGATTAATATAACATGCTTAAATTGGAGTTATCTTAAGTGTATTGTATGAAACACGTAATAAATACCTATAAATATTGCTCACGATTAATTTTACAAATTTAAACGATTTGCAGTGAAAAAAAGATTCGTAAGTATTAAAGAAATTAGTGCATGACGTCGTCGTTTTCGTTTCGGTAAAAAATAATTTAAATTAAACTTTAAAGTCGATGTTTAAATTCGTATTTTCGTTTTTAAATTATACACGTAACGCTAATTTATACCCCTAAACCTCGCAGTTTTTAATTTTAAAAGTGGCTTTTTTTTAGAATACTTTAGTTCATTTACATGATTTAGTAGTACGTTGGTAGATTTTTGTTTCAGTGGTGTATTTTTCCAGTCCCATTATTATTATTTTTTACTCAAATAACGCATGTAGATGGATTTTCCCCGTTCATTTTCTGGTTTTAATCGTTGAATTGCATCGAAAACTGCGCCATAACTTGTTCGGGCAAATAACTTGTAAGTATTTTGGTTTTAACTTTCCGAATTTGTTTTTCACAAACGATTTTATTTTTTATCGGCTGCAATGAAAAATAAAATTCTTACATTTCCTAATTATTTTCAACGATTAAGCGACCAGCTGTTGCCCGAAATCCGTTGCATTTTATACATGAAAACACAAAATTGCTTTTTCTATTGTAAATATTTTAAATCACAAAACTAACCAGAAAAATCAGTAGTTTTTCGTGATCATATTACTTTGTGCTAGTAGTGTCTTCATGTATTATAATTTTATATCGGAAATTCGATTAAAACAAATTCATTTTGATTTTTTTTATTCATAGATTTCTATTCTAATCGGAGATATCAAAATCATCCTAGGCAAAACAGACCGCACTCGTCGAAAAATAATTCCAATTGGAAATCATCACCGTCGAAGAAACTGGGCTAATGAGGATTGAATTTCGCGAGGATGGTTTTTAACTATTGAGTGATTGATTGATTGATTGATTGGTCGATCGATCGTACTAGTAACGGTCCGTTTTTCGGTAAAATGATGATCGATTGCGCGATTTAATTGGTAGCTATAACGGCTTTATTTTATTGTAAGGGTTGATTCTCAATTCGGAACTAATCAAATTGTTTTTCGTAGCTTATTAGAGTTCTAAACAGTCAATACGATGTCTAAGTATTGGTAAATTATATTATTTTTTATATGTTTATTACTGACTGATTTTATTATAATCAGCTAATATATTTTTAATTCCTAATATTGTATATTTTCAAATAAATCATTATTTTAATTACTTTCGTTTTAATTCGAGTAGACGTGCAGGTATTACGAATTAAAGTATAGTTATAAAGTCCAATAATGGAACACATCTGAAAATTCCCTTAGCAGTTTCCACTGGCTCTTCCAGAAGTTTTAAACCGATTTTGTTGTATAAACAACTTAATTGATTTCAGTCTACATTTAAACCAGAACGTTTCAAAGAAGTTCGTAAGTGTCAATATTGATTTAAGTTTGTGTTCAGAGTGCTCTCCTCGGAGTATTGCGCAGTCTTGAGAATACTCCAAAACGGAATCAATTTGATCATTCAAATATACATAAATAAAAGAACCCAAAAAAGCATCAGATAGTTGAATTATAACTGGTTCTAGAATTATTATACTTGTTCTAATAGCTTAATTACTTAATTATCATATTTTTTAATTGTTTTTATTCCATTAGGTACTATTTTAACTGTTTGGAAATGTTCAGAATCAATTATAAATGTCCAGAATCATTTTGAACCATTTTAGAAACGAATAAGGACCATTTGAAACAGTTCAGGGCTATCTAAGAACTAGTCTACACTAATCTACACTAATCTACTTTACTCCGAATCTATGCTACTCTACTCCACTCTTCTCTAATTTACTCCTCTCTGCTCTAATCTACTCTACTCCAAATCTACTCCTTCCTACTCTACTCTAATAATTGACTTCGATATGCCCTGGAGTAAATGGATGAAACTTGTTATTTTTCCTGAGAAATGTACCTACTGAAGAAAATCTTACTGTATAAGGTAAGTGTAGATTTTGATGCCACATTCTTTATTTTCCCGTTGAAAAAAAAAATTTCTGAATAATGGGTCATACAAATTTTCAGTGAAAATTTAAATATCAACTTTATCATGGCAACTGGAGCGAATTTTTTTCCAAAACCGACCAACAAACAGCGATCATAAAACACATTGATGGTTTTACCTCTCTGGCATACGAAATAATCTATCCATTATCGAATATTCGTTTACACGGGTTTGCGTGTGTATTGAAACAAAAACTAGAATTATATTTTGATGTTCCAGTTTCGGTTTTACAAAAAAAGAACATCAAATTTCGAACTCGCATTTCTGTTCGGAGGAAATTATTCGTTGGAAATTTTAAAATTGAACCATTTCGAAGGACTAAGTAAAGTATAACCTGGGTAAAATCTAGATAGCAGTCTATTATAACTGAAAACTTTTAAACGTTTTTAACTCTTTATAAAATTGTGATAGTGCACCGAAAACCTTCTCTAGCAGAGGCAAAATTTAAATAGAACATAATTAAAAGTTGACTAAATAAAAGCTAAATTCTCCTGTTAACTTAATTAAACACGAAAGTTTACGCAGCAACTTTTAATTATAGTATAACTCGAATATTCCACCTGTAAGTATTTGCTCAACTATAAACTTCGTCCTATACACATCTACAATATAATATACAATTTATTTTCAACGTACGGTATTTTCATTACAAAACGTCTTCATCAATTCCAAAAAATTCACAAACATTTCAGGCATCTGAAATAATCGGTTTAACGAAATAGAAATCCTTTATGCCGCAAATATCTTTCCCTGTACACAATACACGGACGGGCTTCCCATAAACTCCCAACATTCTGTAAGGCTATAGAAAATCGTGTTTATATCCAATATTCGAGATGTGCTGGACACTAGATATCGCGGGAGAAATATCGAATTTCCCGGCTATCGTTTACTATCTTTTCACGAAGAACGGACATTGAATGACGCCCGAGACTTCATTCCGCGACCGTAGCCCTTTGTTGGGGTATCGAGATCGAAGTACTCGCAATTGATCTAAATTGTATATCGAAGAGTATAGTAAATTTTACTCTATTTTTTTTGTTAATTTGTAACTAAAAACTGTGCAAAAATGTACATTTGTAGCAGCAGCAAGAGAGTATAAGAGAGTATAAGAGAGTATAAGAGAGTATAAGAGAGTATAAGAGAGTATAAGAGAGTATAAGAGAGTATAAGAGAGTATAAGAGAGTATAAGAGAGTATAAGAGAGTATAAGAGAGTATAAGAGAGTATAAGAGAGTATAAGAGAGTATAAGAGAGTATAAGAGAGTATAAGAGAGTATAAGAGAGTATAAGAGAGTATAAGAGAGTATAAGAGAGTATAAGAGAGTATAAGAGAGTATAAGAGAGTATAAGAGAGTATAAGAGAGTATAAGAGAGTATAAGAGAGTATAAGAGAGTATAAGAGAGTATAAGAGAGTATAAGAGAGTATAAGAGAGTATAAGAGAGTATAAGAGAGTATAAGAGAGTATAAGAGAGTATAAAAGAGTATAAGAGAGTACAAGAGAGTATAAAAGAGTATAAGAGAGTACAAGAGGGTATAAAAGAGTACATATAAAAGAGTATAAGAGAGTATAAGAAAGTATAAGAGAGTATAAGATAGTATAAGAGACTGTAAGAAAGTATATGAGAGTATAAGAGAGTATAAGAGAGTATAAGAGAGTATAAGAGAGTATAAGAGAGTATAAGAGAGTATAAGAGACTGTAAGAAAGTATATGAGAGTATAAGAGAGTATAAGAGAGTATAAGAGAGTATAAGAGAGTATAAGAGAGTATAAGAGAGTATAAGAGAGTATAAGAGAGTATAAGAGAGTATAAGAGAGTATAAGAGAGTATAAGAGAGTATAAGAGAGTACAAGAGAGTATAAAAGAGTAGAATAAAGTAGATGAGGGTAGGTGTAGATACTTCTACTCTAAAAGAGACCTCTACTCTCTTGAAGCGTCGAGAGTATGGAGTAGAATAGAGCAGGTTAAAGTAGAGTGGAAGTGGAGAAGAGTAGAGTATAGTAGAACTATAGAGTAAAGTAAAATTGAGTGGAGAAGCAGTGGAGTCCTCATAGAGTAGAGTAGGGAATTCTAATTTATACGATTATCTGTCTTGCTGCAAATAAAACTTTTCAATCATCAAACGGATTACTTGCGGTTAGTTTCTGGGGACACCAATCCTAATTTTTTACGATTTATCAATCCGCAATAAAAGTACGAAATTCGTTTTTGTTATGGAATCCCAATTTGTTATCGTTGTGCCCGTTGAAATGTCTACCCGGCCAATTTGACAAACTCAATTTGCAACTCGAAATTAAGTGAGAATCTAGCCTGCACCGTGCCATGCAATTTGGTCCATAATTACTAAATGAATAAATTAACCGGCTAGGTGGATTAAAATTAGATTAGCTCCTAAGATTTTCCGCTGATTGTGTGGATATTCATGAATTTTTAGTGCACAATAAATTGCAAGAAATTAAATTAGCATCCGGCGGGAGGCTGTCGGGGCGATTTCGCTTTTGGTTTATTTACGTTTACGGGCCCTTCCAGGACCGGCCCGTTTCTCTACCATGCACGATTGCATTTTAATATGCACCTTTCGACTTTAATTATAAATTAATTCTATAATACCCAATTGCAGCAATCGACAGGCTATTTCACTGCTTTATTAAGCATAAATTTAATAAAAGAATGATCAGAAGACACTCGTTTTCTTCTTAATGTTATTCTAATAATTGCAATTTACTAATGAAAAAAGCAAATTTAGCCAAGATAGAATACAAAAGGGTGTTACGAAGTTATAAAACTCAATGAGCCAAGTTCAAACGAAAGAATTGTATAGCTTTCTATGGCGTCAATTAGCCGGAATTCATAAACCAAACGGGCCTTTGGGTTCACAATAGCCGCGAGTTTCATTAAGATTACAAGTCGAAAATATCCGAGCAGTAATCGGGGGCCTAATGTCTGCTCGATTTCGCAAACAATGAATTGTTTCTATGACGCATTCTAATTAGAGGATCGCGCTCGAGACCGAAGGGAACTGCGAAAAGTCGAGCGCATTCCGGTTAACTCTAACTCCGGTAAGTTTTTTATGATAAGATAATTGGAAAGATTTTCTGTAGACCTTGTACTGGCTTGTAATCGTTTTAATTTCAAGCTCTTTTAGTTCTCTGATTCTCTGACCCTCCGATTCTCTGATTCTCTGATCCTCTGATTCTCTGATTCTATGATTCTCTTACTCTCTGACTCTCTGACTCTCTGACTCTCTGACTCTCTGACTCTCTGACTCTCTGACTCTCTGACTCTTTGACTCTCTGGCGGTACGGGGGTACGCTGATGGTACGGGGTAAATGTAACATATTGTCAACATTTTAAAAAATATGTAAAATCGTTTTCTTCCTTTTTCAAAAAAAACTTTTTAATACTTCGATTCTTTAGTTTAGGAAGTTGTGAATTTAATGTGGTATCAGCATTTCTAATAAGAGAAAAAATAAAGCCACATTTTAGGATTTAATTTGAACTATTCAAATTTTACAACCGATTTGCCCCAGTCTACCTAACTTGTATACTCTTTAGAATTCTCGTTTAAATTCCTGAGTTTCTCCTTTTTATTTTGCATAGTTGAATTTGAATAGTTATAAAAGAGATGAATAATTAATTAGATGTACGGTAAATACACCATCTTCCCGTGCACGAATTTCCGTTTGCTATTTAATTAAGTGTCAACTTTCAGAAACGCTACATTTAAGAGAAAAGCGGGATTGAACTTGTCGCAGTTTGAACGATTTTCGAGAATTCCATAAACGTTTACGTTGAATTTCCGGGCTGGATGTGTATCCAGCATTTCGCTTTAAACTTATGTGTATTTTCCGCGTATATTATGTGCATAATATCGAGGTGAAGTGCACGCCAGAATTCATATGTAAATAGTTTTGAATATTGCAATAAAGTAAGTGCGTCCGGTCTATTAGGTGTATTACTATGTATAGGTTGGTGTTAGTGTGTTATTAATACGACTGCAGCTAGTGGATTGTGATTGTTGACATTCTGGGAACAATGGCGTACAAAGAGATACGGAAGCTCTGGCCGCGGGACACTGCAGGAATAATTTAACAGCAATTAGTGTGGTCCAATTTCGAGGTTGGGTTGATCGAGAAGGGGTCGATCGAAAGGGCGCGGGGCCGGAGTCGAATTCGAGTATCATCGTTAAAATACAGGCTGTTAATTAATTGAGTGCCGGTACTTCAGGATGTGAATATTTGGGTGATTTTAAGAAGAAAAGTTTATATCAATATATGTCTTAAATCTCTTAGTTTTCGAGCTACAGGGTGTTACAGGTTTAGAAAAAAAATAACTTTTTTATCATAATTTTCTTTGCAACCTCGGCAATGTACATAAAGTTATGTTTATTAGTGAACAATTTTATTATTTTACACCGAGGTTTTTTGATCCCGCCTTAAAATGAAATTGGCATTCTTGCCGTTCTGCTATTCGTTAACGAGTCCCACTTTTTATAGAGATGGAGATAGGTGGTGAATATAGGTGTTTAAATATGGATATGCATAATATATTATCGATAAAATTACCACCTCTGTCGGCGGATTAATAATTTGTTAGATAGTCTCTTCGAGAAACGTGCTTTCTCTATGCTTAAATTTTAATATTATCAAACACCTATTCGAAATTGTTACGTTGAAATATATCTAATTTAACGATGGAATGTTTGGTTCAAACGTTTCCTAGCGATATGAATTTTTCATTATTTCACGTTCTGCATTGCAACCACCTGCAAAACCGCCCAAGGATCATCCAATAAAAAGTATTACACTCGCAGGAAAAGCCGCTGATTGGCTCAAAATTAACAAGAGCATTACAAAAAATGTCTGGAAAGAACGCCTTATAAAAATGACAGGATTTACCCTTTCATAAACCAGCTACGGGCTTAATGAATTCGCTGCCAGAACAAAATGATTTCACCAACAAAATGAAAGTATTTTTTGTCTGTAAGAGACTTAAAAGAAAAAGTATTTACTGGGAGATTCAGTCTTCAAAGATCCTCTAAATATTTTTTCTCTTGCAGATTGGATCTTTCCAGTATATTTTAAGAGGAGTTATGAAAGGAGTTATATTATGAAAAATAAACACTGCTAATATCTGCTGTGCTTTTATTGGTTTCTGAGAATATTTAAATTGTTCGACACAATTGTGAGAAATGCTGCATTTTTTACATGTTTTACTATATAGCTTCTACTACATCTATTAATTTGTGTAATAATCGAATCAGAAAAACTGTCCATGAAAATTCTATTTTTTTAACTAATTTAATTATTGTAATTTCGGAGTACAGCCAACAAAGAATAAGATCGTTTTATTATCTAAAATTCATAATTTCGGTTAATTCGGTAATAGTTTTTTTTTTGGAAATTTACTCACCAGAACAAACGTGTCCAATGACAATTCCAACAATTTTCCTGCTGTAAATTTAATCGGTCTCTTTGTTTTTTCCATTAAAATTATAAGCGAACTGTTGCACTTTTTGTTGTAATTGTAAAAAGGGCTGCTAAATATGGCCCCTCCGATACTCGAGCTCTTATTAAAAAAATATTTAAAATCATTTTCATAAAAAAAAATAATTTACAATAGTTTAGATACTCACTTCTTCTGAAATACGGTCTCCATAATAGCAATAAGTGAAAACTACCATGATCATCGGAAAAAAGAATGTTAATATGTACACGAAATTGAAGTCTAAAGCTTTTAACTGCAAAATTATATTTATTCAATAACATTTTATTCTACTCACTTTTATTTAAATACTTACTTGCATGAAATAAAGTAGACAAATAGCATATACCAATGATCCAGCTAAAAATTGCGAGAATGCTGCCACCGAGTACATGTCTTCTATTTCCTTAACATAACTAAAAAAAATCCTACATTTTATGCAATATGAAAGATAATTGAATGATAAGCAGCCCTTACTTCATTACAGTATCGTAATGATCGACGCAATGAGAAATTCTTCGATATATCTCATCATTAACTTCTTCAGTAAAAGTATTATCGTCCTGAACGCTCCTCAAGTCCTTGTCCAAATATTTATCCATATTCTCCAGCCTGAATTTAATAAGCGATAGCTGCAAGGAGCAATGAGACATCAGACCTGCTATGAAAATATCTACGGCGAAATGACCGAGAGTTCCGTGTACATAACCTGTGAAAAAGGAATTAAAATGTAGAGAAAGAATAATTTTTTAATAAATTAACTTAGGTTAATTGCATCATTATCATGATGGTTAATTTAGGTAATCTCATTGAGCTTTTTACCAGGCTCCTTTGAGATATTTTGAGATATTCTGAGATTCTCCTATTGAGATATTTTAAAGTAGTAAAATTAGATAAAATGCTTTACAAACCTATGATTAAGTAGACATTGGTGAGCACATACAGGAACTTGTTATGAATAACATCGACTCCGAACGTATAAATGTCCAATTTCAACTCATCGTGCGAAGAAAAGAGCACGTTGAGCGTCAATCCGACGGGACCTCCGATGCTGAACGCCAGAAACAGGTAGAAAACAAAGTCGATTGCCTTCAGCGATTTTTTGATAATGGGCATTTCCATCGGCTCGTCAGAAGTGAACATCTCCGTCGTCCATTTGTCCATCATTTTCTTGGTGATATCCGGATGCCTGATGAACGGCCAGTGCTTGAACATGGACACTCCCATTTCAAAGAAGATAAAACTGTTGCTCAGCATGCCCATTCTTTCGCTCGATTCGGCGAAGATGATGTTGCAGAATCCCAATAGCGGTATCAAAGCGGTGAAGCCGAAGTACAGCAGGTACGCGTAGAACAGCGAGGCTATTGGATACCCTTCGACGGGATAGATGCCTTGGTTCCTCAGCATCATTTCGGTTTTGTAGAAATTTTCACGTATTAAAGATTTTTTTTCGGTCATTTTTAATGGTTGCTTCGCACACCGACGCGATACTGTGGCAGAAACTTTTTGCAATATCCTTTTATCTTTGCATTTTTAGCGGTTTGTAGTTGGTATCTTTTTCGGGTCCGCCTTAGATTCAAAATGGGAATTTTAGTTATGCTGCTATTGGTTAACGAGTTGACACACTTTTAATAAAGAAGATGGTGATAGTTGGTGAATAATACGTTTTATATAGTATTATCGATAAAATTATGAAATCGTTAGCAGATTAATAATTTGTCAGCCTCTTCGAGAAACGTATATTCTCTATCATAAATTTTAATATCATGAGACACCTATTCGAAATTGTCACGTTGAAATATATCTAATTTAACAATGCAATGTTTGTTTCAAACGTTCCCGTAGCGATAAAATATTTTATGAATTTTTCATCATTCTGCAACAGCTCCTTCAAGGATCATCTAATAAAAGCACCACACTTGTTAGCTCGACATTAACAAGAAGCAATACAATAAAGCACGTTTAGGCAATGACTCGTGCGAACCCTTACGATTCATTTCTCGCCGATCATCCCCGCGTGCCGGGGCCCCCGGGGCCCGACCCGCGCCCCTAATAAAAATGGCACGGCTTAGCGTACTCAGCTGCGGATCGCTAAGGGCTCAAACCGGACCACCTGAGAGCCATCTGTCGGCGGAGTCGCTCATTAAATCTTCGCTCGTTAGGTCCACCGATGCCCCGATGCGTTTTTCAGCCGCTTCCATCCTTTTCACATTCGTTAGGATATAGCCTGTCCGGAGCCAGCGGTGCCTCTTCAGGTATACATTTTGAAAATATTTTTTATACTTTTCTGCATAGAATTAGGAGTATTGGAAATTTATGGGGTATATCCGCAACCCTTCCTTGCTCCAAAGTATGTGGATATAATTAATTTAGTATAAAAGGTCCAGCTTAATTTGCATCTGGAAGTAACCTATTGAAAAGTGCAATATTTTATGTTATTGCATCCTTACCTATTTACAAATTTCTTAATAAAATAAAGATTGGAGAAATTATCTTGAAGCAAATTACTCCACATGTAGTATTATTATATTTTGTGTACCCATATGATAGAAATTACAGTGGAACATAAATTTCGTTTTGAAGAAATCCTCTAAACGGGATTCACTTTTCACCTTTTTAGAGCAAATAAAAGTATTGCCGGGCGTACCGCCGCCCATGGGGAGTATTGCTCCGGTAAATTCAGTGATTTAGTTTATCTTCCAGTGTTGTTTAAAGTGATTTATGCCGTGTTTCCAGCAGAAACAAGAGCTGTACCGTCTAAGTGGATATTTATGGACAGAACTGATTAGATAAATTATTGAAAAGCGCCGTTTTTCTTTCGGTTTTCTTCGGGTTCACGCGTTGCCCTTTCCAGGCGGGATTTTTGGCCTTTATAATTATACAGAAGGATTAATTAATTGAGACTTTGTTGAAGACAACAATAGTTATTCAGTGGAGAACAATAGGCGGTAATTCAAATTTTATGTTTTAGTTTTGTCGATTTACTAACAGTATAGTTAATAAAAGCAATTTTATCTGTACTCACTCGGTGTTTGTAATATTATACTGTTTATTTATTCCTTAATGCAATTTAGGTTTGTTGACTATTGCATTTTCCTCGACAAGTTAAGTGGTTTACTATTAGTTCCCAATTTTCCTTACTTACAAATCTTTAATATTATTTTATTAATTCCATTACCTACTGTGAGGGGCTGAAGCGCATTCAGAAATTCACAAACTCAAAAATATTTTGCATATTATATAGGTTGAAATGCCACTGCCCATTAATTATTTAAAATGTCTTTTGTTTAATTGTTTTTATTATTAATTTTAAATGATGTTTATGTCTTTTGGAAACTAATTTTGATGAGTAATTTTACAAATAATTCGTTGCTTTAAATGTTGAAGATTTTGGGCCTCAAATAGAATTCTGGGGCAAATTTTGAGCCAAAATATTACGATCTGACCCAACTTGCTTTAGTAAAATATTGAAAATAAAAAAGATACAGAGTGTCAAAGTTAAAATCAAAAAAATTATTTTTAGCAGCAGTTTGACAGACTTTGGATGTACAGAAGTGAAAATTTTTGTGAGAAGTAAACATTATTGACTGTGTGTATCTCGTAGATACGTCGTATGTAGCACACACCATTCGCTGATAATTATAATTGGAGTGTATTGAATACATCGATCCATAATTCAAAATAATCCGGAATCATCCCTCGGAGATTCATCATCCGAAACCATTCATCAACCGCGCGAAACTCCCACGTTTCTAGTTAATGTCGCGAAGTGCAGGTGCCCCCCGTATACGCTCTGTTGTATTTACCATCCATCACATTAGAGTGGACTTTTGGAATTGTTGGAAGAGTAATTGCCTTTCTTAGTCTAATTTCCTGCGGGTCAGCCCGCGCTTTCGACGTAGCGAAAGCTGCAGTTGATCGAGAATTACTGCGAGGCGGAGTGAATCAAAAAAAGTGTGTAATGCATTTCTGATGACAGCATGAAACATGATATCGACGGTGAAAAAGCCTTTACGCGGTAACTCGAGCACATTTTAACGCGTTATCTCTTTTAAGTGAGGTTTTCTTCAACTCTGGGGTTTTCTATCCATTTTCGCGAGAAGCTGTTGCATAAGAAAATGTCGCATATTCCTTAAAAATTGTTATGAATTCATAAACCGTAAACGGAGTTTAATTGGAAAGGGAATTGCTGTGTACATGGAAATCGTCGAGATTTATAAATTCGTCTTTACTTATAATTAAGCGAAATAGATTTGAACCGGAAATTTACATAGTTTTATAAATCTATTTCAGAGAGCTTGAAGTAACAGAAATTTTACTTTAAATTCTCCAGCGATTTATTTAAGGGTTGTAATGATGTTTGGTTTTAATTTAGGCTGTATATTGATTCAGGTTAAACATTACTGTTTGTGTTTTCTCAAAAAAATGGACCATTAACACCAAGATATATCTGCGTATATTTTTGTTACCATCATAAATAATACCAGCTCAGCGATTAGGGTAAATAAACGGGAAGGAGTAAATCAGGATACGGTAGCACTTGTCGCCGGGGACACTACATTATGAACTATTCGTAATCCTTATCTGACACCACTGTCGCGGAAAAGACTAGTTAGTGGAAATCCTGAACACGGAAAGTCCGATAAGTAGCTTCTAGATTAAATGCCAGAAATCCAACGATAGCCCTGCTAATTCATACGAAAATAAATTAAATTATGCTCTCGAGGACAAGTAAAAATAACTAATGAAGCTGTGCATGAAGCTGTACACGAAGATGTACACGAAGATGTACACGAATATGTACATGAAGCTGTACATGAAGCTGTACACGAAGCTGTACATGAAGCTGTGCACGAAGCTGTACGTGAAGCTGTACAGGGTGGTCGGATAAGAATGTATCTGGGAAACTATGCATCATAGAGGATTGCGGTAAAAAAGTTATTACTAAAACGGCCAAGAGAAAAGCCTGGAAAATATATACAAGTTACTCAAATGGCCGCTAGGGGGTGTAATTGCAATTTTGAAACAAAAAAAAGTGATATTTCTATGAATTCCGTTATATTAACCTAACAAAAAAATACCAGATATTTAAAGTCGAGTATAATATGAACCTTTTTGGTTTAACAATTTTTGCTGTATCTCTAAAAATAAAGTGGTGAGTGTTATCGAAATGTTTCCCTATAAAACACCCTGTATCTTCGAAGCGGCTGAGCCGATTTAAACAAACTTGGGATAGTTGAAAAGAGCTATTCTTGGGCTACAAAAAGTTATATTATTTAAATTTTTTTTAGATTCACGTGTCGCTAGTAGAGCGCTTTTTTCGACATTCCGACAGAAATGGCCAATTTTCTCAAAAAAATTAAATGCATTGGTATTTTTTCATGAATAAGTAGCCAAATGATGCCTAAACAAGCTCGCAAAAACCGCATCTCGATATATTGTTCCTAACCTAAAATTTTTATTTTACCCAAAAATTTCCCTAAAATTTTGCCCAAAGAAAATTTTATACGGAAATTCCTTAAATTTTTATTTACATGAATCCACATGTAGTACATGAATCCTTCGAAGTTTTCGTGAGTCAACCAGTCAACCAGTCAAATCTAATGCCAGATATTTTCCTACTAAAATGAACTCATGAACTCAATTATTCTCACAAGTATCGTTGTTTTCATCAGCAAATAATAACTACTCAAGTTAGTCATAAAAGTTATTAAATAAAACGCAATGATTAGTGACTAAACAATACAAACTTTTTATTTAAAAAATAACCTAATAAACGTTTTATTCATTGAATAGAATACCGTATGTACCTTGAGCGATAGCGATATCAGCTTGCGCCCAGAAACGATGGTAAGTGAAAGTGGGAGCCGGACCGCCGTCCAAATGCTTCTGCACCGCCGGCCAGGCGGGATCGTTCTTGTACCAAGACCTGATGCCGATGAAAGTGGCGCCGTTTTCGATCACGTCGCCGTTGGGGTACCTACCGGTCCAGCCGGGCGGTACATACACGGGCTCTTTGAATTGGTGGTACGAATCGGGGGTTTCGGGAACGGACACTCCCTTGTCGGTCTGGTGGGCCCACCACATGATGTCCAAGATCTCCTTGGCGGCCTCTTTGGCCTGCTGGTGGTTGGCCTTGGCGGCGTAGTAAGCCAGAGCTCTGGCGGTTGCGGCGCCGGTTCCCACGTCGCTGGAGGTCTTGGTGACTTCAACGTGCACGTTGGGCGGAGTACCGGACCATTGCAGGTTCTCGGGCAGCGTGTACTTCTTGCCCGGTTCGATGTGGATGTTGGCGAGCACCCACGTTACCCATTTGTCCAACAGCGACTTGGCTTTACTGTCGCCGGATACGTAGTAGTATTGGGCCAATCTGTCGACGGACCAACCCTGCATACCGAACCATCTGTTGGACGGGGGATCGTGGTAGACGGGTTCCCAATCGTAGAACATGCCGTGGAAAGTGTTGGCGGTCACATCCGCTGGCGGGGTATCGTAACGACCGTTCCAGCTGTTGGTGGCGCCGCCGGCGAAGGCTCCTTCGGGGGTTTGCAACCACTCGTAGAATTCCAGTTGCCTTTCGAGCGACGTTTGCCAATCGGAGACGGCGGTGGCGCCCTTGGGTTTCAAGGTGGGTTCGTTGGCGAGGGCGTAAGCGGCCAGAGGGTTCTGGTAACCGAAGTGAGCGGTGCTGTCTCCGATCCTCCACGCCCAGCCGCCGCTGGTGTCGAGGGAACCTCCCCAGGCGTAGTACCAGGCCATCAGGTAGTGGGCGCTGCTCTTGCCGTAACCTCCGGGACAACTGTGGGCGTTCACGCAGTTGCCGATTTGCTTGAAGTATTTGTCGAAGAGAGAGTATCTGAGGTAGTCGCCCATTTTAGCCGCTTTGGATAGGGTGTTGGAGATGGTGCCGAGGTTGCCGCTTTCTTGCGCCCATTTCGAGGCCCAGAAGGCGGCTTGGATGGCGCGAGCGTCGGCGTCGGGGGCGTTCGTGTATTTCCACTGTCTGGCGTAGTTGTTGTCTTTGGTGAAGAGATCCAAGAAACCGTTTTGACCTCCGTATTTGAAGGAATCGCAAGTGGATTGCGGGATGGTTCTCCACACGGACTCCATGGGACCCCTTTGGAAGGTGTTGATGTAGGAAGGTCCGGTGGCTCCGGGACCGGCTTCGCATTGGCCGGGAGTGTTACCGAAACCGTAGACGTTGTCGACGTCGAGGAGCCAGTGCATGCCGTAGACGTCGCTGGTGCCGTAGGCGGATTGGAGTTCCTGGTGAAGGGGATCCTCGCCCACTGGCACGCTGGAGTCGATTAGGGACGGGTAGTCGTTCGGTTGGTCCTTTTCCTCGGCGAAGGTGGCCGGATGGTTGGGGGTGTAGAAATTGTTGGTGGGTTGACTGGCTGATACTGGAATGATGTACCGTTCCAGTATGTCCCAAGCGTTGTTGAAAGCCTGCCAGTCGCCGTTGATTTTACCGTGAACGGCTTCCATCCTGTTATAAAACACAACGAAATTCGATAAAATTGCATGCTAAGTTTGGAAGTGAAAATTCGATAAAATTGCAAGTTAAGTTTGGAAGTGAAAATTTGATAAAATTGCAAGTTAAATTTGGAAGTGAAAATTCGCAAGTTAATTGCATTTAATAAAATTGCAAGTTAAATTTGGAAATGAAAATTCGATAAAATTGCAACTTAAGTTTGGAAGTGAAAATTCGATAAAATTGCAACTTAAGTTTGGAAGTGAAAATTTGATAAAATGGCAAGTTAAGTTTGGAAGTGAAAATTTGATAAAATTGCAAGTTAAATTTGGAAGTGAAAATTTGATAAAATTGCAAGTTAAATTTGGAAATGAAAATTCGAAAAAATTGCAAGTTAAGTTTGGAAATGAAAATTCGATAAAATTGCAACTTAAGTTTGGAAGTGAAAATTCAATATAATTGCAAGTTAAGTTTGGAAGTGAAAATTTGATAAAATTGCAAGTTAAATTTGAAGTGAAAATTCGATAAAGTTGCAAGTTAAGTTTGGAAGTGAAAATTCAATATAATTGCAAGTTAAGTTTGGAAGTGAAAATTTGATAAATTTGCAAGTTAAATTTGAAGTGAAAATTCGATAAAGTTGCAAGTTAAGTTTGGAAGTGAAAATTCGATAAAATTGCAACTTAAGTTTGGAAGTGAAAATTCAATAAAATCGCAAGTTAAGTTTGGAAGTAAAAATTCGATAAAATTGCAAGTTAAATTTGGAAGTGAAAACTTACCAAACCCAGTAACTGAAAGCTTCTGATGTGGTTTCGTGACCGTGATCGGGAGCTTCGACGATCAAGGTTTCTACCGAATGGTACGGTACACCTTCAGGCGAAAAGTAACCATTGTTCCTGTTTTTGATTTTGTTGTATTGTATGTTGAAACGATCGGTGTAAACACCTGCACTGACGATGCCTGCCAAGCACGTTAATGCGAAAACTTGTATCGCCTTCATCCTGTAATCCTGTGAACCAAAAAATCGCTTAGTTATAGAAAATATTATTATACTAATAAATAGTTTTGAAGGCAAATATCAAGAGAGTTTTCAAAATGAATGAATATTAATTAACAAATAATTGGTGATTTAATCTTGATAATTGTTCAAAAAATATCCATCTCACCTGTTTGTTTCCGGATTACTCCAAGAGTGTTAGCGAATTCGTCTCTTTATATGGGGACGATTTCTTATCGATATTTACTTACGATTTGCGTAAAAAAATTTGCTTATCCTTCCACTTAACCTTTATTTTTGTTTATTTCTTTTCTATTACGTACATCGCTTAATTTCGAAGTAAGTAGAAGATCTTGGAGATACTGCCGAGTTAATACACGAAGATTAAAGTCTACTAGCAGATTAGCTAGTGCATTAGTAAGTGGAAAAGTTTTTTTTTAAGTCCGTGTTATATGTATTAACCAAATACTGGACGATTTCTAATAGAAAAATGAAGAGAATTTAAAAATTTATTTAATTTAATAATTGGAGAATTTTTTCCTGGATATTTTGTTCATTCAAGCCTTTTCGAAGAAACAAACATTTTTAATAGGTACTCTATTTCCAAATTCTTCGTTCCACATTAGTGCTTTAGTTGATCCACTAATTTTAATTTCCCTCTTTAACAGCCGGAAATTAAGCATTTTAATGGCTATTTTTCTAAATAATTTCAGATAATCCTAATAAGTAGAATATTTTTATTTAATTTTTCTTTGTGTCAGCAACACTTCTCGCACGCGAATAATCAATAAATTTGCTTATCAAACGCCCTTCAAGATTACCGACGTTCGAATTTAATATCGAATAAAAATAAAACTCTTCAGATCGATTTTAATACTCGATCTAACTTATCAATTTAAACGTTCTGCACGTTCCATCAATTTAACTGAGATATGAGATTCTACATGCTACACATCTTGAAAAGGTTCACGGTGCAAATACCAAAATCTTGATTATTTTACAATTTTTCCAGTTTTACCAAATTGGCAGTGACCTATTTTTATTTAAACAATTTTCTGTATTGCGCGATTAGTATCGCTCATAATTCCATAGATATCCTACAGGCAGCGAAAACAACAGATAGGATCCGTCATATATTGTGTTCAATACCGCCATATTAATTGATTTATGATCCCATATAGGTGGATTTTTTCTCCAAAGGTTCTTTTTTTATTTTTAGAGGTTATCGCGTTTGCAATGGGCATTAAGGTCTGATTTATAGTCGATTTTTAATTTTTATTTTGCCCGCTTAGCCTGCCCTCTGAATTCTACAATACGTTGCAAACAAACGTTTGTTTTATTCGTTGTTTGCATACATACAGGTGCAAAACAAATATCAATTCACATTACCTATAATTTAATATGTCACAAGTAGGCAGTGTTGCCGAACTTTTGTAGAGTTTACAAAATCTAAGAATTTTGTAAAATTGTTAAATGGCAAAATGACAATTGACCCTTAAAAGAGTACATAGTGAAATTTGTGAGAAAACTTCTGAATCTGAATTATTTAGAGCTTAAATTGTGTCATTTATAACATGTGGAAAAGATAACTACGCAAAAAAATCTTATTTCTTAACGGCAACTATGCAACTTGACAGTCAGTGCCTACCAACCTACTATAAGAAAATAATAATAATTTTATATGCAAACGTTGAATTTTGACAATATATATTTTTTTGGATGGTTTAATTCTGCTTTTTACCATTTTCTATCATCCCTTGTTAATATTAAATTAAATTCTGCATGTATTAAGCCTAATCTATTTTGTGTATTTATTTTTAAAAGTTGGTCACAATGCTTGGCAAGTATGACGACAGTAGTAACGAGCATTGACATTTGTTTTGCACCAACTGTAAGTTAAATAGTGTCTACTCTCGAAAATAATATAGATGATGGTTCAATTGATTATTTCACGTGACAGAATTTAATAAAATTGCTGCGTAGGAGAATAAAAAGGTATTTATATTTTTTGCGCTCATCCATAAAAATCGACTTTCCCCAGATTGTTACTTACCGGAGAAGCCGAGTCGAACTTTCTTAATTTTCCCGAGAATTTTATGGGTTATTATTGACCAAACGCTATCTGAAACAGAAGCATCCCGGGGAATTGACGATATTGCTTCTATATTGCAATCTAAAGTTAATAAACCTACAACCGGTGAATCGATGAGCTTGAAATTATTTATTTTTACCAACATGTTGTATTAATAACTAAAACAAAATGTACGTCGTTAAATTCCGATTTCTCTCTACCAATTTATATTGTATAATTAATTTTCCGCAGAGAATGGGTAGCTTAAAATTTAAAATCCGAGCCATTGTTAGCGCAGCATCAAACACGGACGAAGGAAAGTTTTCGGCAACCTTACAAGTTCTAACAAAGACTAGAACATACTTGAATAAACCTGTTCCTCTTGTACAGCATGTCTTAGTTCAAAAGTTTCGCCAAACAATGCAACAAACTACACATAATACCAGATCAAACATTTCGTGCTCATGCCACCAAAACAGAACGAAATAATTAGCAATATTTTTCATTGTAGTTTCCACATTAAAGGGCCCAAATAAGTATAAGAAGCGTCATTGTAGTTAAACACATACAAGCAACTCGGGAGGATACTATGTAGAGGTAATAGCATTTATCCTTGGGTAAACAGATGCTCAATTCCCTGTTAACATTAACCGTGTTAACATTAATCCGAATCCTTTATCTACACGGTAGATACAAATGTGTGCCGGCTCCTAAAGGGTTTATATTACGACTCATTCGGGTAATCTTCATAACTATTCATTATAAGGCGGCCCTTTAATGTTTTATGCGGCAGGCATTCCTCGCGTCTTAAATATTTCTCTTAAATGGGTTTTATAAGTAATTACCAAGTATGAAGGGTTGTCAACTAGCAAATAAAACAACCTAGGATTATTGGGAAATTTCCGTATGCCCGATGGCATGACATATGCACGTCAATGTTAGACTGAGTGACACATTAAGGAAGTACTCTGTTCCATTAGAGGCGACAAGTTGAAATTCATGGTAGGTGTTTGAAGTGTAAAATGCAATTTGAACCGATGGCATCGTACAGGCTACTTATTTTTGCATCTCGGCGTAAAAAGCTTTTAGGAAATTGCGTTCGTGAGAGAGTTTTGTTGTCGTATCGATGCCTCAACGCTAGAGGGTTAATTTCTATGACAACAGCTTTCTTATCAATCGGTTTTAATTGGGGAACTCTCGTTCTCGAAGTCGAATTTTTAAATTGTTTCGTTTATAACGAAATTATTAGCAAGTAACCGGTTGTGATGAAGAAAATTTTCGCAATTTTCTTTTATTAGGGGGCCTTTTAAAGGCCGTATTTTCCAGTCCTTGAACAAGATCGGAAAATGATTTAGGAAACGAGGTGATAAGGTCGCCAAAATTTATAGGGGTCGAAATGCCCAGCATATTGCAGCCCTTCTACAAAGGAAAATAATGAAAATAAAATTATCTACGAAATAATTTTGTTCTATATTTTCGGAAAATCTTTACACAAATTTATGTCCTTTCAGGGCAAGTTTCAGCCTCACTAGATTTACATTTTAGAGTAAAAATAGAACATTTCTAAATTTGAAACAATATTGAATTATAGTTATAATAATAATAGTAATATTAATAATAAAACGACTTTATTGAGAAAGAAAACAAATAAAACATTATAGGTACATGCGTTAGTAAACAATAGTTATTAATCATGAAAATGTTTGTCTGAAAAGGCGAAGATTAGCTTCAAGCTATTCTTGAACTCTTAACCCTTTCAGTTTAAACGAGAAAGGAAAAAAAAAGAAAAGGTAAAAATAAATAATAATAATAATAAATGAAACAAAAATAAACAAATGCAACAAGATAAATAAATGAATGAATAAATGAACGAATTATTAAATTGAAATTAAAAGAATGAAATGTATTATTGAATTAAATGAATTATTATAATACATATTTAAAAGTAAACGAAATTAAATGATCACATCACACAAAGTTCTCGATTGTTAATAATTAAACAAAAGTGAATAAGCTACTGGATAGGTAAGAGGTAAAAGGTGATGAAAGTTTAAAAAGGTATATCAGCTTTAATAATATTATCCCACTTTTCTTCCATCGAATGTTCCCTAAGAAGGTCCATCAATCACGAAATAAAAATCCTCTTCGCCCTGTTAACAGCGCATTTTTTGCAAAGCCTGTAAAAGTATTAGGTGCAAATCACGTGGTTTTTTAATGTTCGAAGTGAAATCATCACATACATTTTATTCTGAAGCCAGGTTCGGACTACCAATCATCTTCCCAACTCAAAGAACTGTAAAATCGAGAAAACATTAATTTAAATGTAATATTTATTATTGTTGTGCGGTGCTAAAAGCTTCATCAAAGTCTACTTAAAACTGTACCATTTACTAGGCGAAATTTTCGCTCCATTTAAATTCCCGTAATTTCGTTAAGTCGTCGACGTTCTCCCTTCCTTTAAGTAATTAATTCGCTAATAGAAACGTGCATTTAATACGCAAATGTTGCCCGTACAGGTGTTCCTGCTCTGCTCTGCGGAGGAATCCCTCGAACGGGTACGCACAATGAGTAATTAGAAAGAACCGCAGCAAAAGGAAGTGTCAAAAACGAAGATAAATGATGCACAATACGGAGAATTTGCGTTAAGAATACGGAAATTAAGTGAAGCTTTCAGCGGATATGTATCCGTATTGAAATGTAAATAGAATCGAAATGAACGTGCACTCTTTATTAATTACGATTTTAAAACGGGTGAAATATCGAAATTTCATCTTCCGCATTGTTTTAGTGATTGTTAAAAAAATTGGGAAAAATTATAGCGCCCTTTGAAAGAGATAAATGGATTGGAGAGGAACGAAAGAGCTCGGAAAAAAAACTGCAAACGACATCAACCGTATTAATCGAAATAAAAACATTTAGAAAAATGAACTAC